AATAACATAAACGTTTAGCCAAACATTCGTAAGGCGGCAACTATATCCACGCATCTTCTTAAACAGCCATTTAAAATGTTAGATTAACAATTGATTGACATAAACGTTGAGCCAAATATGCAGACTACTTTATTTACATAGCTATTGTTGTATTGTTGACGAATCAGCTGTTTTAGTAGCTATTGTTCTTGCCCAGTCATGTCTGGAAATCTGATTCAGGTTGTTAACCTTATAAAATCGTAGAGTTTTGATTTAGTAAGCAACAGCTGTTCTACTTAAACTAAAGTTAGTTAAGTATTAAGGTTAGGTTATATTATAAAAAATACAGCTATTTAATTGGCGTTGTCGTATTTTATACGAATTGAAAAGTTAACTTGGAATAACTTGTATTAGAGATATTGACAAATTAATGTATTGCAATAGTATTTTTTTAGGTACAAATAATTATTAGCCTATATATTGGCCTTTTTGACCTTAAAATTTAGTATTACATTAACTTACATTAATTTGGAACGGTTGATTCAAAAACTGTTTGGTTGCGATTCCCGTACTATATATCATATAAATGCACTACGAATGCTTATTGTAAAAAATACTAGTAACAGTAAAAAAATACCCCCGCCGCAGCAAACCTGCAGACTAAGCGAATTTCAACTTGTCTGATTACATTTTCACTAAAATATTTCCATAAATAAGACGTATTTATTCCCTATTTAAATAACATTAGAATTAACGAGTGCTTAGGTTTGCTGCTACGGGGAAGGTAAAACGTGTTTTTTGACCATACGTCAATAGTATATGATGAAATAAATAAATTTGCCAAATTTTATCAATATATATCCATAAACAAGTAAACTACGACAATTTTAATTTTCTCCATAAGAATAACATGGGAATTTTAAATTACACTATTTTTGAATTTTCTCCGTGACCGTTAGGGATATTTTGAAACCTTTTAAACTTTTACAACGAATTGGGAAGCTGTTTGTAAACTGTTAAATGCCCTCTGGTATGATTACAAAAGACTTTAACACAGGCTGTATCATTTACCCTAATTAAAAGGATAACATGTGATCGACATCTGTGCACCGAGGTGTAAGAGGATACGAAACATATTTGCTCCAGTTTCTAGAACAGGATGCAAATGCTACTTGCAGTATCCAAAGTCAATGGAGTACACGTAAGTCACGTGAAATTGGCATCTTTATGTTACTTTGAACGTGACTTCGTGACCAATGCACTGGACGAAAATACGATTATTATTGTTATGACTACAAGCTCGCGGTTTACAGAACATCTGCTTCAACTATATTACAAATTACATTTGCCCGTAATTATGCTGAAGGTTGTGTTTGTTTAGATTAAGTTGGGAACCACTCACTGATAGTAAACTCTGCGAGTCGGAGTAGTGAAAACGGATTACAAAAAATAAACTATTTACATCATACATGATCACCAATATTTTCAGACGTCGATGAGTCATTGTAATTTTAAAATAAACTATACCTTAAACCGTAGATTAAACATTTCACTACCTATATTGATAGAACTATGTAGACATTACATCCCCCATGTTAAAGTCGTCGCCAATTTTCACAATGGTCGTTGCTGAAATAATCCGACAGATTGCACTGATTCAAATTACTGATTGAATTCTATCAAACACGCGGACTTTTAACATCTTATAAAAAGTTTATTGTAAGTTATATGGCATTTGTATATCACGTCAACTAACCCAATAAGGTAGAAATTTTAATTTTAGTCACTAGTGCTCCCTGTTATTGGCTCATTCAACTATTCAACCATGTTATTTTTTATCCTTGTCCATTCAGGATGGGATGCATACTCCAGTTTCAGTATGCAATCAAATTAAATACACTCCATTGTATCATTCTTATAGATTAACTTAAGTTTTCCTGAAGACTATTTTCAAACACGTCTACTACTAGAAATCTTCAAGAACTAAAATGCAACTACCAAACAAAAAGGTAACTTAAAAAGTAACTGGATTACAATAGTAAACGTCTACTACTGTACATTGAGGGCTGAGTTAGTAAAACGTATTGTTAAATACCTACGCATGTCTTTAATTTGTTGAGTCACTTTTGAGGGATTTGCTGACTTTACCTTATTCATATATTGTTTTAAATTTTAATAACGTCAACATCCTCAATTAGGACCTATTAGGATTGTGTTTGTTGTAAACTGAAGCTTGTCCTTTGCTATCATAACCGAAGAGGAAAGAGGTGAATGAGTGTATCTTGAAACTACACTCTGTAATAAGAGAGAGGCATTTAATCGGCTTATGTAAATCCATAACTAACTTTTAATTATTAAATTAACTACGCCCCACGTAAATACGGATGATTTTCATTAGAATACAGGGTACGAGGATTACAAGTCCATCTAGTGTTCGAAGACAATACTTAAACATAGTTAGTCTTTGGAGAAATCGTGAAAAGGTTCTTAGAATTTTGAGTCACAATTTGTTTCGTTCAATGAGAAAGGTTCTGAGAAAGGACTATGCCAGGTGTTCAAAAGGTTTCAGAAATAGCGAAACATTACAATATTTCTGGAACTGTAATCCTTGAATGAACCTAGTATAAAGTAAAATTGCTATATTTATCACGCAGATGTAATAGTACCCCAATTTGGCCAGGTTTAATAGTATGTAAGAGATGTTTATATTATCAACCACTACCCATGAATTTTAGAATGAAAGAGTATCCCAACTCTTGATATCTATCTACATCTTGAATCTGTCTACTCTTAAATCAATGATTTTAGGTAAACTCATTTAGTTTCTGGAATATATTTATTTCAGCATTAGATAGACAGAGATTTGTTTTGCATTGGACTACATCTAAATAAGCCATACTGTTTACTAAGCCTTATCAGTGATTAAGTTTTAATCAAACCGCTGATAATGTGAAGCATAAAACATGTAAACAAAGAAAGTATTTCAACAATAATTATTGCAGAATTATTATTATTTTGACATGTGATATCATTGCACTGGTATCATGACAAGGTTATCATGTATGGCAAAAATTGGATCAGTTTCTTACACAAAAAATATCCCACTCGGAAATCCCTTTTTTTATCTCACAGTTTGGGGTAAAATCCTTAACATCGGATCCATATTGAATCTTGAGTCAACGCATACCGGTACCTATTATCTCTAATTTCGTTTCGTCCTTCAAACGGCCAACCCATCTCAAATCGGGATTTGGTCCCCAGAGTCAAAGTAAACAGTGGAATGAAACGGAAAGAGAGAAACGTGTTTCTGCTTTTCTGTCTTTCAGAGAGAAGTAGAAGAACCAAGTTGACCTATTGTATATTCAAGGTCGAGGGCAAAGCAAGGAGAGGTGATGTCATCTACTGCTGTTCCACAAACTTGTGGCGAACTGCTTACTGTTTGTTTCCCATTTAGATGGTGTTATTTAGCGATTGTGAGCAACTTATTACTCCCTGGGGGTGTGGAAGTTAAAATGTTTTGTCAATTGCTTCAGCATTGATGATTCACGATTGTATCGAGATTAACATGAACCAGTTGAAGTGTTTCCTCAATTAGCTTTATTTTAATTTTATTATTTTTATTGTCTAATTTGCATGTATTTGTAAACCTTCTACGTTATGAGTTAAGAATCCTGACGCTAATTATTGAGCAATGCATAGGTCTATTGAATCAAAATACAGTGTGCTGTTTCGTTGCCAAGAGGGACAGGTTAAGTACCCATAATGCTATTCGTCATGGATATCAACTATTTATGATATCTAGTCAAAACGTCGACGTTTATAACAAGACCACAATTTTCACTCCTCTCCTACGAATAACGTAAAAATGATATTAGTAGGGAAACGCAGATGGATAAAGAAATAAAACTGTATACTTCAGAATAAAATGGGGCACATCTTTGCAAATTCGACGGAATCTATTGTGAAAGGATGTAACAGGGGGGTAATGTCAGTGTTATCTGTTATTATAAAGGTCATCGGTCGATAGTCAAGGTCACTAGGTCAGCAACGCCCTTCCTGGGTCTTTAAGGTCATCTGAGGGTTGTAATTTTCGGCAAATCTTGGAATCAATTTATAAATCTTACCAATTTATGCGTTATTTTATAGTACGGCACCTTATGTTCATTGATGGGTCTAGTGGTTAGAAAGCGTGGATATCTTACCGATTTACTTTGGAAAGTCGTCATTTTAAATCACCAAAGTTGATGATACAAACTACTTTTGATTTTTCCACGTTAGTTGGAAATCTGTCTTCCTACTCAATCCTATAAGGGGGTTTTCTGTAACACCCCTTTTCCAGCCGACCAACTTAACCGATTTTTGTTCAATTGAGTTGTTATTTTAAAGTTCATGATCTATCCCACCTGTGACACGTGAAAATGTAGTTTACTTTAGGGCTTCGCCCCCTCACGTTTAATTGATTTCCAGAGTTCATTAAAAAAAAAAATAATTGTTAATTGTAATGCAACGGCTGTTCCTTCAGATGAATGTTAATGAATGACATTAATTCATTCAGTAACATTTATTAACTTGTTTAACCACAGCAGATTGTAAATAAGAGATTAAACAGTTTATGCAAATATATTTGAAATATTTTACAGCTATGAACTGATTGTGACCTAATAACTATTCTAAACAAACATCGGCCTAATCATGAAAAGGTAAATAGCAATGGATTATTTTTGCCTCGGAAACAAGTTTTTGATTCTTATAATCAATGATTCTAAGCCGCGAAATTTGCGCACGGGTCCCCTCGTTTAATTTAATATTCAAAATCATGCGCGTAATCATCTGAAATGTCTAAAAATGTACTAATCTAAAATTATAGAAATTTTTACTCTTGAGTTGGTTAATTTCATAAACACTCTCACGCTATTGGTTTAATCGTCCGCATGAAGGCTCTCTATTGGCCCTTCGTTTGGCCTATTTCCCACAACAGCTGATTTAAGTTATTTTAGCGGGTGAACGAATTTAAACTATGACGTCACCGTCTAAAAATCCGTTCAGTCTGTGCGTACGCGAGCTGGTGCGCGAACTCTTTGTAAAAGTGAACAAAGTTTGAATCTTGTTAGGAAAATGTCACAAGCTATTAAAAGGGTAGGTAATGTAATTTACAGCTCTGATGGAGTAATTTTGCATAGTGCTTATCTGTAAACGTTCTATTAATCATCTAAATCAATTTGTGAAATGAAAACTTTTAGTTTGAAAGGAAATATTTTCTCAAGATCGTTTTAGGGATTGAAAGAATTATTGCTATCACCTATGACACATCCTTAATTACTTATATAAAAAATGGGCACTGAACTTGAGTTCTTGGCTATGGTTTCACACTGACTGGATTACTTTGACTAAACTTAACAAAAAGAAAGCTTGTGTGTTTAAGAGTTTCATACTATTATTAGGATTTTTACGTTCTATTTTGGGGTTTTGCCCAAGACCCAATGTGTGTTTAAAGATGGAAAGTATGTTACTATAAGGACACCATGGAAACAAAATAAAACGTAAAATGGTTACTTTTGGTTTGTTTACTATAAGCAATGCTATAGGTTTGTTTCCAAAAATATTATTTAGTACTGTGTTTTACACCGGATTAAATCGAGCAAATATTGGATTTGATAAGCATTTTTTGATACTGTATCTGTAATTATTTTCGTGCAATAGTAAAACGAATGTTACAGAGAGAATTAAATTCTTCCTTTCTCACCCCTTTGCGAAACACGAGAAAACGAATTGTTGTTGGTACCTAAGCATTTTGATTTATTTGTAAAATAATTTAACAAACTCGTAAGTAGTCTATGTCAGTAAAAAAAAAAGATTATAGAATTGTAAACAATACTGATGATTCACTTTGACAACAAGAACAATTAGTTTAAATACTTTAAATCGAGTTAAATATTGTCGTCCAATGATCTGACATTCTTTTAGGATAAGGACATACACGTGGTCAAAGCCGCAAAATATAAGGATAGATAGTTACAGATAATTTAAATTAGTTATACAAACCTTTAGGAGAAATCAGGCTTTCATAAAAACCGCTCCCCCATGTTATTCTTATGTAGAATAAATAAACTGTTGTAGTTTGCTCGTTTATGAATATATTTTTATCAAATTTGGCAATTTTAAATAATATTGATTCATGCGATTGTTTACAACTGTTTACAAAAACGGATTTTTACTCCCAAAGAGAGAGAGAGAGAGTAAAAATGCTACTTTAGACCCACAACCTATGTATTAAAATGGCTGTTTTTGCTGCAGTATAACGAAAAAATTGATTTGTGAATAATTGTAGGATTTGAACACCGAGTTCCAGGACGTTTCTCACGCTCCAACTCCAACCCACTTCCTCCTTTCTTTTTAGGAACCAAAGGAAGGATGAAGTAAAACCGCATCGACCACGCTATTCAGTTTCAAAACACGTTACTTTAACCTCAAACCCAAACATAGCCAGACCCATTGTTGCGTAAAGAACCGATAAAGCTTGTGGTGAAGACTTAACTCAGACGACCATCATCTTAAAATGTTTTGTCAACACAAACATTATTTTTGTACCAATAACTCGTAAATACCAATACTTTTCACGTTACTAAATTATAAGTTGTAAAGTTATTAATAAATCTTTTAACCTAGCTATTTGAAATTTCATTTCTCTCAGAGTAGGTAGTCCAAAGTAATATTAGCCTACTCTGCTCAATTTCTTTTTATATGTAGGCATACACAATGGAGCTACAACAAACTAAAGGAATATATTAAATTTATTAAAATTGCCGGTCACACACTATAGAAGTTTACTTTTAAAAAACAATCAAATTGATAAAGGTCTAGTTCGTTGGTCATGAACGGCACATGATAAATTATAAAGATAGTTTTCCACTCTATGCAGTCGGGCCGTCAGCAAAACCCGTAGATAAAACCATATAAAACATACGACCCTTGTGTTAATTAGTCTATGGCAAAACTATGCGCATGTACCTCACATTGGAATGCATTCTAAGTTACATAAAAGAAATCCCTGCTGCTCCAGTTTTGTTAAAGGGTTGATCATTATTTCACTAACACGTTCAAGTACATAAAAAAATATATTTTTTGATAGATTTAATACGAGAAAATGATAGCCTACATAAATATTTTTACGTGCATATGGTGTATACAAATTATTCTAACAAATAGTTGTGTAATCAAAGTATATACAAATTTACAAAAAATCGAGAACATTTTACCAAGTTAACTTAAAACTATGTATCGAATTTGTAATCAATAATTATTTGCTCGATATGAATACCAAGCCAGAAAATTATTTGTGAACGTGTCTCTGGAATCACAAGTAATAATATTTTCTTAACATTTCCCGAGGCAAAATTTGCCATAGTTGCATTTGTTGAGAGGAGGACAGTGAACTAAACAACTTAAGGTTCATTTACTTTATCCAAACGTCTTTGACCGCCTGCAACACTGTCAGTTCGGTGGTCTGTGGTCCAAGGACAGATGATTGTTGAGGTTAAATTTAGCGGTTCAGTTTGCCAACATCTCATCTCTTTAAAACAGCTCTTATTTATCAAATCCCCCCCTCTCTTTCACAACTCATCCTATGTTGCAAGGGACTGTGTCTTACAAACCTACACTATAATAAATAACCCCGCCGCAGCAAACCTGCCGACTAAGCGAATTCCATTTGTCTGAATTGATTTTCAGTTAAATATATCTATATATATAACTAGCTGTGTGCCCGTTCTACGCACGGGGATCTTTATAGTAGTCAGTTGAAACCTTCTTATATTAAGATTAAGAACAGCAGTTAGTTTGCATATTTGCAGATATGCTGGCAAAACTATTATATATAAACCTTCGCAAATACAGTATCTGACAGTTCAAGCCAAAATAAATGCTTCGCAATTAAATGTCACCCGGATCGTTATGGTCCATATGTCCAATGATTAAACTAAAAAATGTTTTATAGATCCATGAAGCGTAGCCCTAAAGTAGGCCTATAATTGAAAGTTACTTTCCACATCGGTTAACTTAAACGTATTTAAAGTACTACCTCAACCTCACCATTTAACACTTTATTCCGGTTGACATTTTCAGTATCAAAGGTGCTCTTGTCCATTCCGTGAAATATTGAGAAATAAGGACATTAATGCGTTACCAACAGACATACACACAACAATCCAAAAAAGGCCACGAACTATTGATACATAAACAATATAAAGGCGTAAACAATTCATGATGGTTTGCCCAACAAATGTTTTACTCAAATAGGTTATCATTTTCTTAGCATACCGGGTAAGCTAAGATTTGGAATCCAGACAGAAAAAGCAAAACTTATACAGAGTTAAGACATCACTTAAATTGAATACGGACGGCTCTAATAAATAAGGTGCAACACCAACGATAACTAATTTGTAAACTACAGTGATGTGTTGGTACCTACGTAAAAATTATTCTAGCAGCTACCAACGGTTCTAAGGAAAAGAACCAGTACCTATGTAAGAACCTACCTAAGAACTATAGTACATCCGACCAATTAAATACATTAATATCTAGTCCCGAGGTTATTGATCTCTTGCTTTTGGATTTTCTCGTAAAAAGTTATAGCGTAAACTTATCGGTGTCAGTTTGAAAAAAAAACAACCTTACCCAAACAACTTTTTGTTATTTAATAGATTACGCATTCTCTAAACAATTACAATTGATTAGTATATCTATTAACATTAGAAGGAAATGTGACGAAAATCACACAATGTTGGGGTTTTGGTCATTTGTAATTATATTTCTTAAGTAGGTAGGCCATGTATTCTATGGAAAAGTACCGGTATCAAGGATCGTCGTCAAAAAGGTTGTTATGAATAAATATGTAGGCTTACGTACCCAAGATATGAGCTATGGGCCTATTGGCTGTATGGTCCAGCGATTGCATCACACGGTGAGTAGAAACAGAAAGTGACACATTGGAAAAGCGAGTTTAGCACTTCCTCTGTTAAACCTCTGTTACAATCACCCACTGCAGTTGTGATTTTTTACTTTACACTTTACACAACCGCCATTGAAGCGCCGTCAATGAGTGGAAACCTTTTTTGTAAGCTATTGGCGACGATCATTTCAGTGTCCAGCCCTATACAACACTGATTCAAGGTCTTCTTTCTGGTTGTCAAAACTCAAGAAACATTTTATACTCAAAGAATTTCTGGTTCCGATTTGGACGATGTCTAGTTATTTAATTTCATTTACGGTTACACTATTAGACTATATTATTGCACTTGCGATTAATTAAATCCGTTATGTAAGAAAAACGTTTTTAATCTCACTTGGTTGGAATTTGCTTTCAAAACGTGATTCGAAATGGTTGCGGTATTTGTAAACAACATTTGTAAACATATCATTGACAGCTAGAAAAAATAATCTTGATCCGAACAGCTGTTCGTTGTGATAAAAATTGAACGAAAATTTGACAAAAATCGCACAAAACTGCATTTTTGAACGTCCGTAATTTTATTTACAAAGTAGTGAGGCTATATTTAAATCACTAAAGACACTCTCGCCAATCCAGTGAATACATTAAAATGACTTGGATCTTGATAGGTACTCTGGCTTTCCCGGAGAAGATTGCGTAAAATGCCATCTTGAGTGTTACAGACAAAGGGAAAGACAGACAGACAGAAATAGAGATAAGACTCGTTTCTGCTTCTTTAATGTATAAAACGTAAAAATAACCTAAAAGTATATAATTCTGAGCAAAGTACAGACAAAACTCTAATTTTATTTATATAGATTCCGTAAGTCAAATTTTTGTAAAGAAATTGTGAGTGACTGGATGGCCGTAGAAGGATGGGAGGGGTCTTATTTTAAAGGTCTTGACGTGAATTTTGAGGGAAAACTATTCATTTTTCTTATTTTTTTTACCATAAATTCGCAACAGAATAAAATTTTTCCCATTAAAACAACATGGGGTTTAATTTGTTTACATCTTTTGAAATTAAAACAGCTGTGCCACAGATTTGAAAACAGTGATCAATACACGCATTTGGTTTACTTTTAGCCAGTCAACTATGAAATGTATACTATAATAAAACTGAAATATTGAAGATTAGTCGGAAAAACGTCTGCATTCTTTGTTTATATTTAAATCATATACTCAAGTTTCATTTTTTCATGCTTTTACGTTATTGTCGTGTTAAAGGAATAAACGACATAGAATAAATATTCTGTATAAATAATCAAAGAGTCGAAATTAAATCTAACTTCTGTTTTGTTTTTATTTTTAAATCATATGTTCAAGTTTATTTTAAATGATGTTGTTTTCTTTATATTTCTACACATTTTAAGGTTAAGGTTGTGTAAATATATACAACTAAAATAACCTATAAATGTTATTGGTTCTAAAATGGTGTATTTGCATTCCTTCGTAAGTAAATTTTTTTAGTGCAGTGAATATACAACGTAGAGTAATCATATTCGATCATACTTTTATAAAATCACCAGGGATTCAAGATGTTTTGGTATGTAGGCTGCTGGATATACAGGGTGAGTTTCTACTTAGCGTGTTAACTTCGCCAGTAGGTTCTACTCACTAAAAGGAACAAAAAATGTTCTATAAACCCATGTCCGGTTTTCAACCGTTTGGCTGTAATAGGGGATTTTGTGTTTTTCTTATTTTATTAGACTTTGCTCCACAATTTATGTAATAAAAACTTAACCAATTACTTTAGAGAGTTATAGTTAAAATCATTGAAAAGAATATTAAATTTGCTATAAATCAAAGGTTTCATTCAACAATTATACCATTACATAGTCCACGTTATATCCAAAATAAAGTAAAAATGTCATTAAATTAATTAATTAAGAAAACTTTCATGAGCCCACTTTGATACATAAACCTGCATTTATGCAATGTTGAAATGCATAAAAAACTTGGCCATTTAATAATCTTTCAAATGATATGCTATTCAATACTATTATTGATATAAACCAGTGATAAATTACTAATAAACTACAATAAAACATGGTTTACAGATTTTGTTTTTGCGCAGTTTTACTGTTAATAATAATTACTGTATACTCCATGTTGTATTTTATTAAACAATGTGATAAAATTTGTACATTATTTTAACTTTTAAATATTTATTAGAATTATCTGAATTGATAAAATGTATAAACTTTTTCACATTTTCAAAGATATAGTGTGTTTGATTCTTAAATGCTGTATAATTAGTTTTACCTTGGGCTTGATTAAGTCAGCTTTTATTGATTTGTCATCTATAGCTAGATAACTCAGCTGCTTGAACATACCTTAATTGTTAAGTAATTTGCTGTTTTAACTTTATATTTCCAAGTCAATAAGGAGTTTTTCAGCATTTATTTAACTATGGAGCCTTTTACCAATCAAGAGTATGCCAATATAATTATTATTAACAGTAAAAACTGTGTCAAAACAAAATCTGTAAACCGTGTTTTATTGAAGTTTATTAGTAATTTCTCACTGGCTCATATCAATAATAGTATTGAATAGCATATCATTTGAAAGATTATTAAATGGCCAAGTTTTTTATGCATTTCAATATTGCATAGATGAAGGTTTATGTATCAAAGTGGACTCATGAAAATTATCGTAATTAATTAATTTAATGACATTTTTACTTTATTTTGGATATAACGTGGACTATGTAATGGTATAATTGTTGAATGAAACCTTTGATTTATAGCAAATTTAATATTCTTTTCAATGATTTTAACTATAACTCTCTAAAGTAATTGGTTAGGTATATATTACATAAATTGTGGAGCAAAGTCTAATAAAATAAGAAAAACACAAAATCCCCTATTACAGCCAAACGGTTGAAAATCGGACATGGGTTTATAGGAACTTTTTAGTTCCTTTTAGTGAGTAGAACCTACTGGCGAAGTTAACACGGTCAGTAGAAACTCACCCTGTATATTCTTTTCATTATAAGTACTGTAATTAATATGAACGCCAGGGGAATACCACAAAGGCGGGGAACTGTTCATAGGAATGACAGTGCGCGTAGGAGAGCAAGATTAGATAATGACGAACTTAATCAAGATATGTTACAACCCCTTTTTAGGAGACCCATGGTAGACGAGAGAAATGTAAAGATCCATGATGCAGGATTACTGGACCAAGAGTGCTTCAATGTAGTGCTCTTCATTTTAGAGAAGAACTAACGAATAATCATTTTATGACATGTTGCCATAACGGACTTATTAACCTTCCTCAGTCAAAAACTAATGTAGAACTTAAAAGTTTGTTTGAAGAGAGCCCACAACTGTATAAATGCATTCGACAATGCAACAGTGCGATGGCTTTTGCTTATTTTTCAGCCAGTAAGAAAGATATTCCAGGAAAAGGACCATACTGTTTCAAAATTCAAGGACAGATTTATCGTTCAATCTCAGATTTGCTGCCTCAACATGATGAAGACCCCGTGTATGGCCAATTGTACATTATTGACACATTAACAGCAACAGAAATTCGTCAAAGGCGTCGAGAAAATAGTGACTTAAAACCTGAAATATTGTCAAAACTAGCTGAAATTCTATTAGAAAATCCATTTGCACAAATTTACAAAGGAGCTTCGGAAGAAATGGTTGTACAAGGTGACAGTGAATTAGAACTTAGGTTTGTAGACAGGATAAATATGGATCGTCGTAGGTATAATAAGCCTACTGCAGATGAAATTGCAGGCGTCTTCAATTCATCTGAAGGCGAACCTCCAATGAATTTTTAAAATTCCAAACAGGGAAGCTTTTATTTATCCTCATTAACCACAAGACCAAAGCTACCTTAGTAAACCAGTATTTATTCACAAACAATGATATGTTTGCTGCCTTTTCATGTTAAACCACTGGAGTGATTCAAATTATTTATTGAAAATGACATCAACAAAAGCAAACAAAGAAGAACAACAAACTGGTTTTTACACAAAAGATATGGTGTAGGGATGCCTATTCCGACACATAGATAATGTTATTCTGAGTTTGTTTAAATACCGGTATTGCAAAAAGTTGTTTTACATTTGAGCTTTTTAGGGACTTATGTCCCTACAAGCCACTAGTTTTAATAACATTAGGTTTAACGAGTACCTAGGTTTGCTGCTACAAGGAAACTAATAAAGTGTGTTTTTGAGTAAAATATTGATAGCTTAGTACAAAATAAATAAATTTGCCAAGTTTGATCAAAATATATTCATAAACAAGCAAACTACAACATTTGACAATATTCTCCATAAGAATAACATGGGAATTTTAAATTTACAATTTTTTAATTTTCTACGTTACTAATAATGGAACAAAAATACTTTTATATACTAAATTAATTTTTTTTTAAGCTCTTTAAAAATGTCTGAAGAGAAATCGGGAAATTTTGTGTTTTGAGGGTCAAAAGTGAGAAAAACCAATTTTTACCCCATAAAACCCCCCGTAAAGCCCCGTTCCCATGTTCCGATCGTGCTGTTTCGCGAACTCATTCAAGTTTATTCCGCTTTACACCTTTAAACCAAATTTCATCAAAATCGGACAAAAATTACTCAAGTTATCGCGTTCACGGACGTATATATATATATATATATATATATCTAAATACTATACATCTATATATATACTAGCTGACCCGGCGAACTTCGTATCGCCTAAGTTATAGGTTTCCCCTAAGACAGACCGATGGAAAGAAAGTACCGTTACGTTTAATTTTCAAGATGATCTCGTTCGCATCGCTCAATCACGTCCTGGTTGAAGTTCGTTCGCTACGCTCACTCACCTTTGGGTTGGAGCTCGTTCGCTACGCTCACTCACCTTTAGGTTGGAGCTCGTTCGCTGCGCTCACTTGCCTTCAGGTTAGCTCGTTCGCTACGCTAACTTGCCTCCAGGTTGAAGTTCGTTCGCTACGCTCACTCACTTTTGGGTTGGAGCTCGTTCGCTACGCTCACTCACCTTTAGGTTGGAGCTCGTTCGCTGCGCTCACTTGCCTTCAGGTTAGCTCGTTCGCTACGCTAACTCGCCTCCAGGTTGAAGTTCGTTCGCTACGCTCACTCACCTTTTGGTTGCAAATTAGCTGTTGTCATAAATGTAAAAGAAATAATAGTGCTGCACCCTGTTGGTAATCCTTGTAACTTTAATGCTATTGAACATCATAGAACAGAACCAACTTGTTTAATTGAAACAGCTGTTAAGATTCATTAATTCCATTTCTCAAAAGGTTAACATGGGAAACTCCAGAGCCACTGGGGCGGAGCCCTTTTAAGAATTTCGAAACGGGAAATAGTTTACGTCCGATTCGCATACCTACAGAATTTACACACCAAATTTCATAACGATCGGTGAAGTCGTTTCGGAGGAGTTTGCAGACAAACACTGTGACACGAGAATTTTATATATTAGATACATATATAAAAATTTGAACGAATGGTGTTTTTGGTCTCTGGGGACATCAAAATGAAAAAGTAAATCGGTCCCGGGTCTAGGTCTTACCGTGCCACCTACGGTAATAGCTACTTCCCTGTAGGGAAATTCGCTAAAACTAGAGGTCGTCGAGTGGTCGAAATCTCGACCAAAAATATGTAACGTACAGACTTCTATACTTCCCCCCCTCGCTTTAAATAAAACATGTGTTTGGAATTTATTCAATTTGTTTTGATTTTCTGTTTATATTTCGTCTCCTGCATGGCAACCCATAAGGCCCATGTCATTTTTTTTTATTCATTATTTTTGTGCATATTTTTGAGTATATTTTAATTTATAAAGGGATTCTGCACATCTATAGGCAAATATCTTTTTAACAGTATGCGCCGATTTTCCCTGCAATGCAAACGAGCTGAGAACAATAAAGGTTTGAAAGAAACATGCTTTCCTATTACTGTAATATATAGATATGTTGTCCGTCTTTCCATTTTGCATAACACACTCGACTAAATAACATGAAATCCATTTGCACACCAATCTTATGTTAATTATTAATACATGCCTATCACTGATTCAATATGACTAAAAATCTTAATAATTATAAAAAAAAAATAATTGAAATGAAATGTAATGAATGAAATGAAATTAAATGAAATATTGTATACTAAAATTTATTTTTGTTTTCCAGATGCCTATGTTAAATTCCTGTTGTGGTTGTGCCTCATTGAAGGTTGGGACGATTATAAGTGGAGCCTTAGGAGTGGTAAGTTTACAAAACTTTCCACTTTTATTTTTAACTTATCAGAATGTTGCATACACCACTTGTTTCCTCAGTCTCAGGAATTTAAAAAATCCTACCTTTTAACCATGCTTTTGTGTTAATCCTTTGTAGATTCATCAGTACTAAATTTATTATCATTTTCATATGCTAATAACTGCTTTACATGTCCAGTTCAAGAGTCTTCTAAAGCCTTGTTTACACCACAGTATTGAACATTTATATTTTTTATTGTCAAAACATTTTGACGTTATCAACAATTTCCAGCGTAACATCAGAAATCAATTTAATTAAACAAGTTGTTAAAACACGTATACAGCACTTGTTGTACCCTGTGTTTCAACTGGAGTTAACAACCAAATATCCAAAACCCCTTGGTTGGCGTTGGTAACAAAATTTTCGAGTGCAGCAAAAATAAGTAAGTGAAGTAATTTAGCTACTTGCTGTACTATAATCAGTGCAAGGAAGGCCACTTTGTCAGGCAACGTAAGTATTTTCTTATGCAAACTATATATCCACATCCCAAGAACTACAGTGTTAATTACTTAAATCTTTTAAAATATCAAATTAGTTAACAAAATGCTGTCATGACAAATAAAGGACAACAATATAATTGGAATTTGTGATTCAGGTTATTGGAGCTGTCACACTTGTTTTCATCTTGGTCACAGATGTAAAACTGCAGACGATAGTTATTGACACACTTCCATCCGACATTGGTAAGTATCTGGGTATCAAAGGAGTATTTTTTTACCAAAGATTATCTTGCTATCAAAGATTATCTTGGTACCAAAGAGTATAATGGGTATCAAAGCGTATCATGGGTATTAAAGACTCGCAGACGATAGTTATTGACACACTTCCATCAGACATTGGTGAGTATCTGGGTATCAAAGGAGTATCTGGGTATCAAAGATTATCTTGCTATCAAAGATTATCTTGGTACCAAAGAGTATAATGGGTATCAAAGCGTATCATGGGTATTAAAGACTCGCAGACGATAGTTATTGACACACTTCCATCAGACATTGGTGAGTATCTGGGTATCAAAGGAGTATCTGGGTATCAAAGATTATCTTGCTATCAAAGATTATCTTGGCATCAAAGAGTATCTTGGCATCAAAGATTATCTTGCAATCAGAAGAGAATTTTGGTATCAAAGAGTATCTTTGGTATCAAAGGAGTATCTTTGGTATCAAAGGAGCATCTTGGTACCAAAGAGTTTCTTCGTACCAAAGAGAATCTTGGTATGAAACGTAAAACCTTATCACACCTTGGCTACTATGAGAATGGTACCTAGTTAAAATGAATATTTTGGTTACAGGATAACAGACTTAAGCATTAAACCTAATTTTTGACAATTTAGATATACTCTGTGAAGATTAAATTCTATTCCCATATATTCAAGTTGTAGTGTTGAGTGTTGACTTTTGGATTCCGAAATAGAATCCCATCCATATGTGCCAGCTGTAAACAAATTTTTCACTATAAAGTAACATCTAGTGCAATGAGCCACTAGCATTGACTATATATACCTATAGGTAGGTATTATTAGATTATAATTATTAGATACAGTAGTGACTAAAATAATATTTCCACTCTTTTTTACAGTGATATTTAATGCTATGTAAATCCTTTTAATTTTCAGATCTCAAAGTCTTTAAATTGTGGTTTTCCAAGTAGTGATGGGAAATTTTTACAGTAATACTTTTACGCCATAAGCTTACCTATCTCTAATAATAAACTTAAACAAATAATTATGGTTAATTTCTCTAATCAACCTTAATTTTTTGTTTGTTTTCAGTAAAAATAATCCTTGCCATCAACTTAGTGATGACAATGTTGATATCAGTTCTCCTTATCATTGGAGCGCTTAAGGTAAGTACAGTATTAGATGAAGATAGTTCTCAAAAATATTTTTAATTTGTTCTTTGGAACAACCAAATTAAATATCTATAAAATCTTTATAAATCAAGAATTTCTGAGTTCAGGAAACTTTGTAGAGCTTAATCAACAAACAGTTTAGTATACCGAATCCTTATAGTAAAGCTTGAGCTTAATATTTACGGAGTATTCTATTTTGTTTTGTTTACATTTATTACGCTACAAAACAATGAATAAAGAATGTTTTGACTTTGACTACTCCAAAATGAATCAGCACCTGATCAATTTGAACTATTATACTATAAAACCTTTAAAAAATTGGGTTTTCTCATTTTTGACCCTCAAAACATAAAATTTCCCAATTTCTCTCTAGACATTTTTAAAGAGCTTAAGAAAACAAATAATTTAGTATATCAAAGTGTTTTTGTACGGTTATTAGTTACGGAGAAAATTACAAAAAATGTGATTATAAAATTCCCATGTTATTCTTCTGGAGAATATTGTAAAATGTTGTAGTTTGCTTGTTTATGGATATATTTTGATTAAACTTGGCAAATTTATTTATTTTTTGCTAAGCTATTAAAATTGTACAAAAACACACTTTAAGTTTCCCTGTAGCAGCAAACCTATAGGACTCGTTAAACCCGATGTTATTTAAATAGATTTAATTGAAAATCAATTTAGGCAAATGGAAATTCGCTTAGACGGCAGGTTTGCTGCGGCGGGGGTAATTTACGATATGGGGGATGTTACGTTCAATAATCATAATAATTCCTAAACAAAAATATTACTATAAATTTACTGACAAACTTTACAATAACTTGAATCTTTTCCGCAGAGGAACCGGTTTATGATGTTGCCATGGGTTATTCTCGCCATCATGTTAGCCATTGGTCTTGCCATCTCAGTTATCTACACAGCCGTTGTTTTCTTCATGCACAAACAAGCCTTTGGAGCCTGCCTGTGGCTACTGTTCGGACTATCAAGTGTCGGTAAGTGATTTAGATTTTTGAGCTAAGATTTGTTTGGTTTCGGTAATCAATTTCGATTTTTAAGTTTACATTGGTCAATTACACGTTCAGTAATCAAACTACTGACCACAAGTAAACCTAATACATCAAACAGATTATTGTGGTCATTTTCCAATAAGGAACAAAGTTTTTACGACGTTTCGGGACTTGGAATCTGACTCCATCCTCAGGTTAGTAAAATATACTACATTACATCAAGGCTACACCCTACACAAACCCAGTTAATGCTATAAAACGCAATAAAATTCACCCACAGAACAGTAAAGTACCGGTAGTCTAACACAAATAGTGTATGAATAAAAACATAAAAGCTCTTAAATAAAACCATATGATAGTAGCACTAGCACAACAGTAGAAGTAAAAACATAGTACCGGTAGCTGTTTGATGATCCGCAATTGATAATGGGTATTGGCACTTGGCAGTGCTCGATTTGTAAAAAAAAGGTGCCGGAACCTGTAACCTGTTAATGTGGTTAGTACTTATTTATGTACCTATTTATGCCAATATTTTTATCTTTCCGAAAGAGAGGTACCGGAACTCCATTCGCTGCAAATCGAGCACTGGGTATTGACAATGAATACAAACCCTTTAAGAAGAGAATTGCTTATGGAGAATTGTCAGACTGAAAATTTGCCCCCAAAATGAACTTTGCACGGCAACCGCTACGATCGCTCGGGCGGCAGCTGCGCTACTCTATCCCTCTCTCTTTCTAAGCATATTCTTTTGTCTCACTCTCTCTCATTCAGTCAGCTGACTTGGTCGTGCGCTCGCGATGGTCTACCTAGCGGCCGCCGCGGGAACTATAGAAAATTCAAATATTCCCAGACAGATTTTTTTACAAAGGCATTGCGCTTCTTAAAGGGTTTTTATTCCTTGGTATTAGTGTCCATAATAATCAGTTAGATAATTTAAACTCACCATAACCAAAGATGAGTGTTAAACAAAGTTATAGGTACTTTTTCAGAGGTATAACAATGAATTGTCACAATTTTCCTCAGACTAGTGTAAAATCTGAATAGCATAATATAATTGTACAATTTTGCAAATTTTAAGTTTTACTTTCTTGCCTTACATCTTGTAAAGTTGAAAATTTAGACAATGATGATGAAAAGTTCTAGGACACTCATAATGTTGTGTATAAAAATAAAGATTGCAGGGAAAACTTTGAGAAATAAATGTATTTCAGACCCTTCATGCATGAGTAGTAAAATTTAGTACTGTAGTTGAAAATATTTTTGCCAATGATGAGTGTACATTAAATTTTCATTAGAACCTTTCTCTAAAATTTATTTATGGAAGTTGAAAGGCATCAGTTTGTATAGCATATTATGTTATTTTTTCTAATAAAATCAAATCCTTGACTTAACATACTGTAAGATATCTTTGTTTTCAACGTTATGGTTAGTAACAGAGGTAAGCAAAGAGAAGTAAACATGAAGTGAAGTAATCTGCAATAACCTTGGAGCAAACTTTAGTGTTATCAGAAACTTTATTGTGTTGATAGGGAAATTATGTGTGTATAAAAGAGAACTAATACACAATGACAACACAAGATAAATAAATAGTAAAAAGTTTAAAAGTTTTTAAAATTACGACTTTAGTAAATTAATAAAAATATTAATTTACAAAAACTAATGTACGGTACCAGTGATCTAATACAAAAACCCACCAAATACAAATATGTGGTATTTAGAAAGAGAACTGTTATTGATGAATAGCTGATTCCACTGATTCACTGATTAAAAAACTGGAATTTTAATAAAACCTGGTTGGATAAATCTGATTTTGATATTGTACAAAGCTACTTAACAGATTATTAACAAGGGCTTTTCAACAAGTAAGGCTTGATTTTTAGCTGGAAAAGTCTTGAGGCTTGCGGTAGACCGTTAAACACATGAAAACCATATATAGCGCAAAGTAGTTAAATACTTCAATAGTATGTTCTAGGAACATTGAGATTGAAACTATTTCTAGATACTGATTCCTTGAACCCACAGTTTGCTACTAAAGCCTACCTTAATACTACAGATACATATCAAGATATACAAATGGTAACTTTGAGGATCTGGAATTCCTTTAAAGGGTTAAATCGCTCATAAAATTAGAACAGTTCTGATTATGTCCTCATGAATACAGAAAAGCAGTGTAGTCTCAGAAACTACCCATGATCAAAGAGTTGTTTAGGCTCCAGATTAATGTACTTAAATAGTTTACAATACCTGCATAGTAATCCTTTGTTGCTGTTTTGGCAACTAGTTTCAATTCTTCTGAACCATCATCAGGCCTCAAGGTGTCAGGTAATCACTTCATTTGAAGGTCGTTAACAAACTGAGTTCAATAAATAAAACATATACGACACACGACAACATTGAACAGACACACGTTTACAAAAAATACAAAACACACCAAGGTACATTGAGAAAAAACTAACATGACTAGGTTGTAGGTAAGTCTAGACTATAACACCTTGAGGCATGATGGTTCAGAAGCAGGTATTAAGAACCCATTGTCGTTTGACTGAAGCATTGGTAAAATAAACTTTCATTTATCAAAAGTCTGACAATCAAGTAGAGATCGAAGGGTTTAGTTTCCAACCATCAAGAGCTACTGAGTTCTCTCAGAACCAAACCGAGGACTTTAGCCACTTGTCCAGATATGACTAAGGATTTAAACGTACTGAAGAAGTTCTTTGCAATCAGTCTTTTCCTAACAACCATTTGAGTATTATTCTTCCAACTCTTTAACATAAATTTTGTTTCAGCCATCTACGTGTACCTGTGGTTTGTTGTCTTCAGCTACTATCAGCTCCTTCAAGAAGAGAAAGGCAGAGGTCCTTATTCTCGACCCGCCTACAGACGCTAATCCTAACCTCTACAATTCCTCATTGCTGATTCTTCCTAATCTCAATTCTTCATTGTTCTTTCTTCTTTCCCTATTTTGTTTGCCATTAGCATACCTCCCCTTCCCTTATAGAGTAGGATCTCATCATCTGAAGGCTATGTTAAGAATTATTCTGTCTGGAGTGTGCTATGATTACTATTTATTTCTTGTACATAAACTTCTAAACCACTTTAATAAGATAAAACAATATACCAGCATTAGTAGACAATTTCTTGTCATCTGGAATTATAAACAAAGTATAAATTGTGTAAAATTTCCCCTAGAAAAACTTTAAGGCAATATGAGCACACTCAAACGTAACAATGCATAACATACATCAGAGCATGCTTTAGATTTTTTATAGGAAGAGAAGGCTCCAAAACCTCACAATCATAATATGATCATTAACAGTTATTGTTTGATTAGTTTTATATGAAGTTTAATATATTTTGTTTGATAATCTTTTTACTAGAAATGTTAAGACGAGTAAGTTATTTCAATTATATTGTTTATATGTGTTACAATTTTATTGCATATTTTATTTTGTCTTTCTTGATGATCTGTAAGCTTTTGACAATGTTAAAAGAAAGAATCTCTGTGTTGTTTTTTTTTTTACTTTATCTTTTACTTTCTTATACTATTTTCATTTAAGTCTTGCCTAATTCACTAGTCCATTTCATTATTTATTATTAGAATAGTTATATTAAGTAGTTTAGGGTTATGTTAACTAATTATAATTTAATATATCTTAACATTTTGATAACAGAAGTGTAAAACATTAATAAATATCAACAAAATAGTTACCAAATTAAATAAAAATCTACTTCAGAATACCCTACTAAAGTTAATTGCAAACATGTTTCGTAAGGGATAGAATTCAACCTTTAAGATGTAGATTATAAGGGCTTATTTACTAAAATACATTACACTGTATATTTATTTCGTCCAGTGAAGGACTTGTTAAGAGAAGATCCATTTGATTGTTTTCAGTATCTATAAGCTAATAGTCTCAAACTTTATTAGACAACAATATTCCAAACATTTTTCAAAAACGTAACTTTTCATTAGATAATGCTCTTTTTTAGAGCCATGTTGTTCCCACAGAGGATACAAGCTTGTGGGACAAACTTGCGCTTTTAGATCTGGTATTTTGGGGCGGAAATGTACTTGTAATGAGCCAGAAAGATCCTGAACACTGATGGCCACACAGCGTTTTTGTACAGCAGTTTTAGCACACAGGGTTTTACGTACAGCTTTTTTACGTGATGGCAAATGGGAAAGGAGAGCGGAAGAGAATGACAAATAGAATTTGCTGTAGACACCAGCAACTGGTGCTAGACACCACTTAAGTGGACCATTGAATGTATCCTCTGTTTCTTACTTCTATGTGTTGTTACTTAAAATTGGTTATGCTATTTATTTAATTATTGCACCACGTTCAACTCTTGCAAAATCATACTGTGTATGACTTTCTTTAAACAAAGGAATTTTTTTTTAGAAATACAGGGATTTTTAAAGAAATGTACCATGAATTCATTATAGCAATGTCTCGTGAATAATTTTTGCGCTAAGCAATGTATGTATTATAATTTATTATAGTTTTAAGTTAAATTAGATTTTGTTAATTGCATTTTAATTTGTAAGATAACACGAGTACCTTATACTTAATAGTTTTAACAGTTTTTAATTTTACAGAAATTTACTTATTGAATCTAATGTGATTCATTATGTTTTGTAATCTCTTAGATAAAATGTAGAATTGGAAATTTAATACTTGCTTGGAATGAATTGTTCAGTTATATATTTGACTAATTTTAAAACTGTACAAATCCATAAATAGTTTTTTTCTAAGCACATACAATGATTGCATTAAAAATATGTTTGATTAGAATTGTTTTTAAAGTTTTATTTTTTATAAACTGTGCCATCCACAAAATAAATTATTATTTAATCAATACATTATTTTAATTGTTTTCCTCCACCATTTGAAGACTTTCTCAGTAATCTACAATATACACTAAACCCTCAATCCTGATTGATTGTAAATTAAATTCGGTGAAGTTAATGAAAGGACAGATTAAATTAAAATAAGAAATGCAGTGGTATTCAATGGTTGTTGGACACCCCTTGTAGAAAATCCTTGGAAAAAGCTTGAACAATCTATCTATATTTCTATCCATCTACAGTAGACTCCCTCTTATCTGGACACCTTTTAACCGGACTACACTCGCCGGAAATGACATTTCTTTAACCGGACAATTTTTATCAGCAAATCGGTTTAACCAGACTAGATCGGCAGGAAGTGGGCGGTACTGAAACGACTGTTCTTGTGGGAAAGATTTGAGACCAGTGATCACGTGTCTAAATACAATGCTCTCCTAAAATTAAGTCAAATACTGTATACAGTATGCATTTAAACGGTCTGTTTTAATGAGTTTTTGGGGACGTAGGTTTAACCGGAATAATCGTTATCCGGACTGGCCTGGGTCCCGAGGAGTCCGGATAAGAGGGAGTCTACTGTATCTATCTACCTATCTATCTTATCTATCTATACTATTATAAAGAAGAGGTGGTGTCTGTCTGTCTGTGTGTTTGTATGAGCCAAACTCAAAAACTTACTACTGAACCGACTGGGCTCAAATTCGACAAAAATAAAGCTACCGCTCCGAGAATACATATATTATAGAACTATTCCTCCTTCGATATTGACCTAAGGAGGTGAGGGATTTAAAAGTAAATTGATTGGTCTTCAGGGTAACAAAGTACAATCGGACAAAGTTTAAATAATTTGATTTCACATTTCCACACAGCTGGTTGAAACATATTAAATACTGCACTGATAGTGGAACAAAAAGAGTATGAATCATAGACATAAAAAATGATGTCACTCGCCTGAATGTAAACATTATTTAAAATTAATTAAATGGAACTGTCAAACCATATGGTAACGTCATTAGTATAGTATTCTTTCATTTACGTCATTTTTTTATTTTAATGATCTATAGTGAGTCTGTTCTGATATTTGTGAAATTCTGTAATAATATTTACTAGTGTACATGTTGCTCGAATTCGAGCAATTGTAAAGTATTACAGAAGTTATTTCAAAACAGTCATATTTACAATGAGTCCACAGAGTCAACTCAAAAATTACTGGTGTGTAACTCATGGAGATACTCACGAACAGTAATCAACATTTCCTGTAAATATTTTATCATATTTCATTACCTGGTATTGCATAGTTTTTAATGTTTTCTACAAACATTTCCTGTTACAATACGAGAATGAACTGACTGATAAGTTTTTAATGGCACCAGGAGGCAAACCCATGATATCTCGTCTTGGTTTCACGTTCTGGCGCACTACAGACTAGAAACCAAAACTGGCTCACTCGTCATCTGTCAAGCCCATTTGAACTTCCAATAATCACACCTAATTATCTATTGTAGGCCAAAAACAATTCAGTAAAGTCCACTACTTCTGTGTAATGTTTTGTTCTACTTATGCATCTGGGAAAAACCTAAAAGTGTTGATACAATTTTTAGCAAGGTATATTAAAAGGTTAGTTACAGTAAACAATTTTTATTTTACAACTTTATACATAGACTTAGTAAAAAATAACATTAGGACTACAAAATAAGATCCTATGGATAACACATAAAACATTTTTTTAATGGTAATAAAATACATAAATTACTTACAGTAAAAAATAGTTTTTATGTCTCACCAAAATCCAGAATATTACAAAATACACAAGAAAGCCAAAACTAATGATGATAAAACAAAAGTCAGTGGCAACAGTAACAAAAAACAACAGTTTTTTTTTAAGAAGGGTTTTAAACAAAAAATTTTTGGGTTGAACAAAGTGCACATTATATAATTAGCAAAAATATGATCTACAGAATCAAAATTAGAATACTTTCATTCCAAGACTGATCCCAAAATTAGTTTAGGGTAACATCTTCCGAACAATTTAATTTAAATGTTTCGTTAATCAGTAAAGAATTGACACCAATTCTTAGTTTTGATAATACCAATGACAAATAAGCTATGAATACCAAAATCAGACAAAATTGAAAATATTAAGTTAAAAATGAAAAATACTAAGAGACACAGCAAATAGCTTATAGCTACTACAAACTTAGTTTACATTTTGAATAACACCAAGATTAAAAAAATATAGAAAATAATAAACACTACAACAAATTGTGGAAGGAAACTGTTTTGGGAAGAATTGGAGTCCAGCTAGCTTACCTGGGAAAATTAGTCCAGTGCCGGTAAATTTACAACAAAAAGGTCACAAAATTGAACACTTTTTTTGGTCCTTGGTTCAAATATAATCCCTGAAAAAGTCCTATTCTAGGGACACAAAATAGCAGTGTTAGGTTTTGTATCCTTTGTCATGTATCTATAAGCCCGGGACTCTTGTTTTGAAAGTTGCTAGCTCAACTCCATGCCTTTATAAAACAACGCCAATCATTGCGTTGGCTCTACGTCAAAATAAAATAAAAAAATAGATTACATCTCTTAACATAACACCGATTGGTTGTTTCATTAAACAATTTCCCTGCACTGAAACACCCAATTCTAGGTAGCAAACTTTTCAACATTTCTGCAATAGCAAATTACTATTTTAAAACTTAACAAACCAGAAAGTAAGTTAGAAAACACAAAACTTTAACTTAGCTTAGTAATTGGATTTTTAATTCTGCAAGGAATGTTACCATTTTCTGCGTTCCACAATACCCATGGCCGGTATCATTTGCTGTAAGACGTCGAGTCTTGTGGCAGTTGGACGTTGGAGAATGTGTAAAACACAACAGAGCCAGGTGCGACAACTGCACTCAACACTGGTACTTTGTCTTGAAACCTCTGGTTGACTTCCCGCAGCTGGGCTGGGCTGGGCAGAGGATCTGTTCCTCTACAACACAAATTATTGTATGGATCAATCATAAATCATTAGACTAATTTACTAGTTTCTTGAACAGATGACACCAGGTGCTGTCTTTAACCTTACAAGGAACAAAAACACTGTAGTATCACTGTCTACCCATTCTCCATGCAACAGCTTCCCAACAAACCTAGCAGAGACCTACACCAGACACCCATAAACAAAAACTTACAGAAAGTAATTTTTCCTAAATGAGCTGCATGTGGCTTGGCTTAGGAATACAGGAAGAGTGAATCCTAACTAACTAACTAACTTACCCCAGAAAATAAGTTCCAGATACCATAGTTGCTAGCAAACTAAAAGTTTGTAATGTATTATAAAGATATTACATTATAATTTGAAAATCACCCCTTTAAAGAAAATAAAAGAATGGGTAGCATTCTACTACTTCTTTCAAAAAAAAAGTCCTGTTGAAGGGTGAAATATACAATTAATTGTATTATAACTTATATACCATTTGTGTCCAAGCAACTGCTTGGAACTATCCCTTTTCCCTGAAAGTTATGACACACAATGCTCATACATTCATAGAAAGTAGTGATGTGTCAAAACCAAATCTCAAAACCATCAAAACTTTGGAACAGTTTCGGTTAGGCTGGTTTCGAGATTCAAAAGTTTCAAAATTGAAAATTTTGGTAATTTTATTTTTCAAATACTGTCATTTTTTGTGTCATTATAAGCTGGTAGCAATGGAGCAAACACATCTCCATTAAGACTAATGAAACAAGTAAATTGTATTCTGAACTGCAAAAAGCATTTTAAATACAGGAACAACCTGTAATTCAGTTTCATATCGATATTTATTAAACACAAAGAAATATTGACCACACAATGTTCTAATTAGAGTGAAATATTCATGTTTATGTTAATGTCAGGAGTTTAATTTATTTTAATAGGTATTTGTTGTTTATAAAAATATGTTATTTAGGGTTTTAAGTTTATCCGTCACATTTATATTATTATGTCTCAGGAGTCAATCTCTTTCAGTTTTGATCGCATAATCATAATGAAAATGTTATCATTACCTGTATTTTTAGAAACCTTGATCAGGTAACTAAAAAGTTCCACATTTAGGTTTTGAGATTCGAGATTCGATTTTTTAAGTTTCGGTTTTGGTTTCGAGATTTGTAATTTATGGTTTTGACCATCACTAATAGAAAGGTTTAAAAATACTGGAACCTCACGATGAGTGCAGCAGGAAAAAACTAACCAACTTGTAAAAGCAAACAGGTTTTTATCGATTTCGGTCCAGACACAATTTTCTCACTTCAATTTGAATAGTTTAGGCAAAACAATAATTCCCAACACAAAATTCCAATAAACAATGAATTTACAAATACCTCGAGAAAGAACTTTTTTGGGCATTCCTGTAAAAATGTCAAGAGTTTGCATTACAGTCCACATTTTAAACATCCAGACTACATTATTTTAATTTAAGTTTAAAAATTGAAGTTTGTCATGTTATAGCTTTATAGCTTCTCGCCAAGGAACTTGCTTTATTTTACCATCTTTCATGCAAAGTGTGCTGCTTAATTCGCTCTTGGAATTTTGCTATGTAGTCTACTTGTCCTTTACATTAAAATCATCACTAACTATGATATATTTATCTCTAAGGATTTCTTTGTAGAAATAGCACCCAAAAATAGATTATTGATTAATTGTTTGAGCAGGAACAAACCATGTAACTAAGAGCACCAATCACACAGTGGGCTTTTACGCACTCCAGTGAGCGCTTCAGATTCTGACAAACATCAGATACTTGATGGACTTGGCATTCCGCCCAAGGCAGGTGGCCTCTCACTATAATTACAAGAATACTTTCTCTTACCTAAGTTAACCTGCAATACTCTGACGGTAATAATTGCTTAACTCATTAAAACAAATTTTGAAATAGAAAAAGCGTAAAATTAAATTTTAAGTAGGACTTACTTGAAAACAACAATCCTGTACTGAGGAAGGCCGCGGTGGGATTTACGGAACTCTACTGGAAGGTACAAGTCAAAACTGATCTTCAGCCTTAAAATATCTTCAGGTGGTGAGGCACTGAAAGGACTGAAGATCTGAAGGGCTGATAGGACGGTACCTGTAGGGAAATCAGAGTGTTAAATTGTTAAACTGAGATGAGATAAGGTATACAGAGTAAGGAAACAATTGTACCAAAAAATGTCTTGGATTAGAATGTTTAAGGGGTGCATCAGAACTATTAGAGAGTAGACAATTGATTTTTCAGAGTGAAAACTAACCACAATTAACCAGTGTCCAAATTTGTAGGCAGACAACAACTTATACAAAATTTGACAGCTACAAACTAACTGGGTGGCGTCTGATGAGATAGAGAAACATTATTTAGGAGGCTCTGATTTTATCAAGTTTTACTGTGAAATTTAATCATAAAAAAGTTAAATGGTTGTTCATAGAGATATTAGCCTACTTGCAGAAAATAAGAAGGGTCTCTTTCCACATTATCAGAGTAAAATAAATTTGTCTTATATTGCTCGGATCAATGAAAGAAAAAAAAAACAATTTTTAACTAGTTTTTATTAAATTAATGAAAATGTATAGTCCATTTTATAGTATTTGTAATACATACCTATTGTTTTACAATGTCTTGGTCTTAACAACGGCTTGAGTTCTTCATCTTCTTCATTATCAAATTCATCTTGACTCTCTGCGTCTTGGGAAGTAGAGAGAGGTAAATTCTGCTTTTTTACATCTGCCCAAGTAGACACCTTTCCTTTAGGAGAATTTTCAGAAATATCAGTTCTGTTACACACATTTTCACTACTTGAACAGCTTTCAATACTATTTACTTCTTCACTACCAGCTAGAACGATATTGTCACTCATATTTGAAACAGCCTCACTATTATCTTTGTTGGAGCTTTCAGCTTCATTATCAATAGTGTCCATCTCTGTATTTTCAGTAGTGTCTACCTCTGCAACCTGCACTACAGGATCTAATACTTCTTTTAGTTCATGTCTATCTTCTTCAGTTTTCACATTGTTAGCATCTTCAGTTTTTATAGCAATATTTTCTTCCTTGACTTGTGACGGTTCTTCTTTCACTAGATTTGATATAGGTAAACTAACAACAGAGGAGGTATCACTGGAACTTTCAATTTTAATCTCTACCCTTACACTTTGTCCAGCTTCGCCATGTTCCACCTTTACTCTAACACCACTGACTCCTGCTGACTGAGCAGTTTCTTCAGATTTCACTGTAACTCCTGTTTGGTTTTCTTCTTTCACTGTAGAGCCTTCGGCAGATTCTTGTTTCACATTAGCTGTTGTTGGATTTGATTCTTCTTGTTTTACGTTCCTTTGTTCATTCAACAATTCAGATTTGACCCGAACAGTAGTTTCATTTTCTTCCTTGACAGCGGGTGAAAAAGAAGAGTTGCTTACAGGACTATCGAGAAAAATAATTTCTGGGACCGTATTCTCTTTGGAGTTTGCATTAGGACAACTCTTTTGAGACACTGCTTCCTCCTCTCTTCTCTTTTTTGCTTCCTCCTTTTTTCTCCTTTTTGTTTCTGTCCTATATGCTATTTTGCTGATCATACCTCTCCTAGGCACAAAGTCATCATCATTGTCATCAATACTGATGATTTCCACAGGTTTATTGGACGAATTTGAAGATGGAATTGGGATGAAGTCTAACTGAGAATTTGAATTTTCCTCACCAGGAACACCAGGAAGAGGGATATCAGGTTTAATGTACGCAGGATCTATAAACTGATGGCTTTGCGATGCCCCTCCTCTTGAATTCTGTTGAGAAAATCCACCTCTTCTGTTTGGGTGACTCCTCGGATATCTTCCTCTTTTGTTCCTGAAATTTCCTTGATTGTTTCTAAAATTTCTTCCATTTTGATGGCTGCTGCTCAAATCAAACTCACCATCCACGGAGATACTGCGATCGCTTTCAACAACAGGTGAATTGGAGTCATCAGAGAATCTAATGTGATTAGGAGATCCAAAATTGGATGTCTGTGGCATATCAAAGAGATTTTCAAAACTGGGATTATTTCTATGAGGCAGGTTAAAAGCATGGCGATTTAAAATGCGTGGCTCATTAAATGTTAAGTTTTGGTTCACTGGTGGAAAGTGATGCGTGGCCATGGGAGGAAAGTTTTGGTGCATAGGGAAACGTGGCCTAGGATTATAAGGGATTATTCCATTACTGATATTATTCTGTGGCATATTCATCATTAGTGCAGATGCAATTTGCATTACACCTCTTGCGACTAAAGAGACGTCATTTCCACCCAAAATCTGAGCTAACTGGGGAGTTTGAAATACAGCTTGTGGTCCTCCAAAGGGCTGGTTGGGGTAGAAGTTATCAACAGTGTTGTTGTAGTACGGATTGAAACTACTGAACCTTGGGCCGTGAAAGTTCCTTCTGCCTCTAAACCCCTGACGGAATACTCTAGCTCGCAATACATTGGTATTGTAGATATATGAGGGTTGCTTCAGAACAATACTATCTGGTATTAGTCTCAAATCCGGACTATCAAGTGTCATTAACCTTTTATTTTGTCCAGCCATTGTGGGCATCATGTCCAAAATTTCGTTCCTTGATTTCTCCACTTGAAACACAGGTCTCTTAGCTCCTGAAGATGGACGATCTTCAGAATTGACAATATTTTCAGCATTGATATTTTTTTCTGAAGGTTTCTTTTCTTCACAGAACTCATCGACAGATGCAAAAGTCAAATGGCTCATTGTCGGGGGCCTTACAAACTTCTTTTTCCTAGACGTGCTTCGCTTCCAATTCCCATCATAACTTTTCTCGCTCTCTGAACTACTGCTATTATCTTCCTCTTCTTCTTCACTATCAGAGGATAAAGTCTCAACAATAATTTCTTTTTTTGGTACAGGTACTTCTACGATTTCATAATCTTCATCGTCCCCTAGATTCTCATAAACTGGATTTGGAATTTCGTCAATAATTTCTATGTCACTGTCAGATTCAGCATCATCTTTATTCTTTTCTCCTTCTTCTTCTGATGAAGATGATGATGAACTGTCTGCTATATCGATGACTTCAATAGGTTCCTAGAAAGAAAAACATAATGATTGTAAATAAAATACAAATATTACAAGATATTTTTGTTCACTTAAACCTCCCAGTGTCATAAATCGATGCATCGATGGTAATGACACGCTCTGGGATGTCAAGCGTCGATGTGTCAATGGTAGTGTAGACGGTTACATATTGTCTTTTAACTCAGTCAATTTCAGTCCAATTTGGAATGGATTTTTATCACTGTAAACAGCAGAAAACTGGCTTTCTTCTGGTGTCTGCTTCACAAACTTACTTTTGTTTGTCTGTTTCACTGTTTCCAGATGTTTTGAGACAAAGATAATGTTTTGCTTGCCGTGTTGCGTGTTGTTGTTGTTGTTGTTTACAAGTTGTTTGTTACTATATTTTCTTTATTGAAAACAGATTTTTATCTGTTTAGATTACATATTTAGATGTACAAAATAATCAGTGATGACTAACTTGTTGGTTTGATGTGTTTGCAGTAATATATTTTAAGGTCATGTGTAATGGCTGTAAAGTCATTGTAATATGCCTAGTGAGTGATTTTGCGACTATTCTTCGATCATATTTATGACTCTTGTTGGCTGTCCTAAAAATTAAGTTAACCATACTAAAGTTCATATTTTATTTTTTGTTATAATATTTAGAAATAAATGGCTATTTCAGATGTTTTATTTGGTTACAATTACTCATAAAAATAGGGGCACAAGCATTTTTTTCATATTTTTATTTTGTATTTTTTTATCCTTCTAGGTATTTTTTTTATGGTAAAATAGTTATAAAACCCTAATTATATGTGCTGAATCATAATGTGCATATATTTAGCTGCACAACAATATATAACAAGGTATAGTTTTTTTACAAAGTAGATTTGTTACATTTTTTAATAAATATTACTGCAAAATGCCCAAAATATCAACCACACAAAAAATGACTGACACCAGGAGGGTTAAAAGAAAAGAAGGATTATGCTTGTCATTTCTCATGCTGCTTGTCATTAATTTGTCATGCTGCATGTGATTATGGCATATTTAGATGAATAGATTTTCATAACCATTTACCAACAGACCCTAAAGGCTCCGGCCTAAGGGCGCTGCAATATGTTTGTGTCCTCATTATTTATTCGTCTTACTTATTTTCTCGGAAAACTTTTATCGAATGTTAAAGACTAAAATACATCTCTACATTTACTTTCACTTTGATTCATTCCTTTTCCTTTCATTCACTTTCATTCCTCTACAAATCTAGTCTTTTGCCACAAATAGGCTACATGAATAAATGCAGTAGAATCTAAATCCAGCCATAGTCATAACCTTAATCCTTTCAATGCAAGAAACAACGGAATAGCTATAATATTATAAAAGAATAGCTTTTAAATTTAACTGGAGATGAAAAGTGTAAACATCAACACTGTACACCAACATATATCAATAGTTGTATAGCCTAAGCTGTGTAAAATAGTGTGTGTAAAGAGTACCTCTCTTGAGCGGTTTAGAGTCAAATATAGACACGCAAATAAATATTTTCCCTGAAGAGGAAATGAATCTATTTTATATCAATTAAAAGCAAGAAAAGTATATAAACCTGACGACCATGTCGCTGATGCGATATCAGTGGAAATTCTCCAAATACAAAAAAAAAACCAAATACTGTATACTAACTTGTTGAGACAAATATTTTTTATGACTGAGATTACTATAATCATAGAAGAAAAATGCAAATAAATATATTTTCAATAACAAATAAAAATGTACTATAACTAAATGTAGTATGAATTAAACTAAACTAAGTAAGAGTGAATCGGCACAAAAGTGATTTCAAATATCGTTTAAGTATAATAAAATACGAGGGATTTATTTGTTTTTGATTTAGGGAAATATCTATCTGGGCTGAAGCGGTAGTTATTTTGAAGAAGGCAGAAATGTCTTTTTATACAAACCTACCAAGTTTCATCTTGACATTTTAATTTTTCATGTTGGTATAGTACTTTTTTGCAGTCTGACAGGCCAGCTGGCGGACTATTTTCTACATTTTCTATTGTTTTCGTCAAAATGCTGTTTATGGTTATAGGCCCCTATTCTAGCCGGTGGGACACACGGGAGGGACTAAGGTTAACATATCTTGTAGTGTCAGCGTTCGCCGCTAGAACCGCTGAGTTGAAAAAATTTAAATTCATTTTTTAAATTTTTATATATAAAATTAACTTTTTAATTATAAAATAATTTGTAATAAATTGTAAAATAATTTTTTTTATTTTTAAAATTAAACTGTCATAACATAACCTAACCAACCAGACTTGCTGATAATATAAAAACTATATAAAATAAAAATCTAATTAATGATAACTTATAATTTTTAATTATAAAATTTATTTTAAAATTTTTGTATTATAAAATTAAACTGTCATAACCTAACCTAACCAACCAAACTTGCTGACACTATAAAAATATATAAGATACAAATCTAATAAAGCTTCAATATTTAAAAAAGGTTCTGTTCATAAATAAAATAATAAATGCATCAAATTCTAACAAAAGGTGTACAGTTAAGAAGTATTCGCATTCTAAGCAAAAATCGTTGACAAAAAGTTAAGGTCCCCGGCAGATTTCGAACCCGGGACCTCATGACCACCAAACCGGGACGCTACCACCTACGCCACGAACGCCGCTGACATCACATCGTCTCGTTACGGTAATCGTGTTACCTCAAGAGAAGACATTAGCCACTAGAGATATGACGTCACTACACCTTTAGCCTTAGTCCCTTCCGTGTGCCAATTCCCTATTCTAGCTACTGCCTTGATTCCCTTTTACAACTGTGGCGATACCTTGAACATCTTCTGCAATCACTGTTACACAATGAATTTTGTATACCTACATAATCTTTGCAGACCCATTTTGCAATCACCAACGTGGCTAGAAAGTAACAATTAGACTCATCTCAATTAGGCTTGGTGCCCAATTACTCAAGATTTTAGGTGAGACTTGAAATCCCATTCACACATATCCAATTTTAAAAACCTTATCCACATTACAAATTAGTAAAATATTCATCTGCTTGATGTTTGTGTTACCCTAGTGATTGTGCTCGGTTTGACAGGAGATGTGTATCCAAATCTTACTTCCACGTCTTCCGGGATTTCAGAAATAACTATGGGCGGCTGCCATCGTTCTGGGGGACACACCGGAACATCCTCTTCCAGATCAAACAGTGAGCTGCAAACAAATTAATAAACTGTGTCAAACAGTAGTAATGATTGCAAATTGTAAAAGAATATAATGGTATAATGGAGAACTTGTGCTTCTAAATTTTCAGTTTATTGGAAAATAACCAACACCGACTTTGAATGTATGTAAGTTTTAATACAGGTTTAAGTACTAATAAAACGTTTGGGATGAGGTGTAACTTATACTTTTTATCACATGTATATTTTTCTATAGGCCTATTCAAAAGCCTATGATATAAATAAAATTAATTTTAATTCTTATTTAGTAAAATCTAGTTTTTCTAGAAAAGTAAAGTCTAAAGAAGGGGTTATTATTTTGGCAGAGAAGATTTTTTAGTTGAGGAGGGTCTCGGTGCTGGATTCAATATGTTATTTTCTACTTGAAGAGTTGCAATTTGAATTTTGTGTCTGTAAATTTAGTATTAAAAAACAAAAATATCTCATCTTACTAATATTATAAATCTGAAAGTTTGTGAGTTTGTGTGTGTGTTGCTCAATCACGCATAAACTACTGGACTGATTGGGCTGATATTTGGCATGATGATAGCTCACATTCCCGATTAACATTAAAGCATATTCTTATCTCAAAAATCCTTTCGGGCTCCGCCCCAGTGGCTCTGTAGTTCCCCATGTTAACCTTATGATTTTTCATATTTAAAAGGAATTAATGAATCTTAACAGCTGTTTCAATTAAACAAGTTGGTTCTGTTCTATGATGTTCAATAGCATCAAAGTTACAAGGATTACCAACAGGGTGCAACACTATTATTTTTTTTAAATTTATGACAACAGCTAATTTTCATCCAAAAGGTGAGTGAGCGTAGCGAACGAACTTCAACCAGGACGTGAATGAGCCATGCGAATACTTATGAAGTTAAACGGGGCAAAGCCCGCGGGTACAGCTAGTTATTGATATTTACAGAACACCTAAATCAGATGTAAATGTTTTCTGGACAGATTAGATATTTTAATTGATTATTTTAATAAGCCTCTGAAAAAGGCGATATATCAAGTATTTTTATGTGTTCTTGTCAGCAACCTTTCATCAGGTGAGTTAGCTGTGTCCTCTCCATCCTATATATTTATTAATCCAAGCTAAATGCTTTTTCGCTACACTAATGTGAAATGACCTGTTTTCGTAACATGTTTATCACCTTACATTATTTGTCATGAGAGCCGAAGCCCCCTGACTGCATACCCGGTACCTATCCTTGAGGACATACCCGGGCCCCATGATGTAGGCCGAAGCTTACGCATCAACCTTTAGCACATCATGGGCGGATGACTTAAGGTCATCAGGCTCGCCGGCTGCCGAAGCAGACCCTTCGGAAGGAGGGTTGCCCCTCAATCCTAACCAGGGATTCCGGCTGCTTGTTTAAGCGTCACTCCACCTGGGTTCCACTAGGTCGGGACCTAGAGGTCCATGGTAGAGCGCCCCGACGCATTTAGTGCAAGCAACACTCGGGACCTATCTAATCCCTGACAGGCAGAACCCGCCATCAATAGCCAGGAGGAAGGGGACCGTCAGCGGAACCCCAACCTCCCATTTACACCACTACCCGATCGAGGCCTTACCCATTGCTGGGAAACCAGAAATAACCAGAGCGATAGATCCCCAGATACCCCTGGCGGGCTCGGACCCAGCACCCGATCTACTTCATTTGCCCGTCAGACCCAACATCACTGCCAGGCCATCAGGGTTTCCCAAAAGGAGGCAGGTATAGAAGTGGGACCCACCCGGATGAACCTATCCACCAGAGGTGGCGACACCCTTGACTCAATTGAGGTTCCGGGAAGAACCCCCCACACTCAAGATAACCATACCGTCCGTGCTCAGAGACAGGGATTGGTTTGCATAAGTGCCTACAAACCGTTGCCCTCACACTGCGGAAAGTTACGTTGCCCTTGAGTGTCCCCGTGAGCTACGGGTACTTGCCCGTTTTCACCTCCAGGAAAGGTTACTTCCAAAGTCGAGGATTTGCCCACTGAATGCTGGTCGCACACAACAAGCAGGCCGAAGCCCAAAGAACCACAGACACAGGTAGGTTAGAGATTATGATGCACTTCCATCTCTCCTAGAGCTAAACACCCCTCCATCCTGGATAAAGGAATGTCACTGGGACCCAATGCCCAGTCGTCCATGTCTGTGGCCTACTTGAAAATGCCGATACCAACACCGAGCATTTACCTCCCCTCTGGGGGCTAGGTATTTCACCTCCCAGGACGAGGCTACTTCCAAAGTCGAGGATATGCCTCACAAAATGTCAGTCGTACACAACAGGTAGGACTCAGTCACAACCACAAGCTACAGGCAGGTGAAAGATCTATGAACTTAATCAACACTAGCAGAGCTGAACACCCCCACCACCCTGAATGGAGGGAATGTCACTGGGTACTCTCACTTTGGGTACAACCCAAAGAGGCTGGCTTGTCCAGTCGTCCATAGCTTGTGGTCTACCTGAAGTGCCGGTTCCAACACCGGGCAATTACCTCCCCTCTGGGAGAACCCCCAGACGGGAGGGGGTTCATGATATCTTCTGTAATTGATATCATGTTTATCACCTGCAAAAATTCATCATCACATTGTTTACAACGGCAAAAGAATGTTTACTATGCGAAAGTAATGTTTACTATCGTTTTTGGATTTTGCCAACGTAAACAAACAAATATTTGTTATTGTTTTGTCAACTGTTTCAGTTTTCAACAACTAAAACTGTACAACCAAAGTAAATATTAACTTTAAATTGGAGTTATAACCTAAAAAATGAGTTTTGTAATGTTCAAGAAAATAATTAGTCTTTGTAGTGTAGCGAAAAGTAACGTCCAAAACTCAAGTGAATGTGTGTCCATACATATTCATGACCATTGAAAGTGCTTGATAAATCTCACACTTTACACACGGTCTCAAATATGTAATGACTCACTTTCTGCTCTTGTTATGAAATATTTCCTAAAAACATATTTTTATATTATGTATTTTGACACTATTCACTGTATTGCCAATATACATGAGTTATGATGGATAAAGATGTTTGAATATGAATAGGAATTGGTTAAGTAAATTAAAACACATGCAAAATGTAACTTATCCACTCATTGGTGGTCGTTGAAGTAAACACCGGCAACTCTATAGTCTGCTTCCTCAGGCTTAACGTCTTGGTATAACATAATTTTAACTAGCTTAATATATTTTTAGTTTTGATTTTTTGCTACTGTTGTTAATCCGCAGCCTGGTTAAATCCACTCGTGGAAGTCCACTTTTCCTTTGTATTTTAAAGGAAAGCCAAGTGGTTGATTAGGATTTTTTGAAAAGAGGATAAGGTTCAGACAGCTCACCTGAGAAAGTTAAGAGTTTTAAGAGTTCAGGGGCTAATAGATACACATAAAAACACAAATTACAACACTGATACTTCCTCCTAATCAGAGAGTTCTGCAACCTACTCGGTGGAGAAGTCCAATATTAGGAGGAAGTATCAGTGTTAAGTTTTTGACTTTGACTATTGATAGACACAACTTGGTGACAATTTATTATCTAAATGGACGTAATTAAATTGAGCTACCGACATATTGTGCTCAGGGCCGATTTACCAAATAGGCACGGTAGGCACGTGCCTAGGGCGCGAGGCAATTGGCTTTTTTGGGGGCGCCAAAAATAACAAAAAATTCCGATATTCCCTCGCGGCCGTGTAGACATCGTAATCGTCTCCCGCGTTTGTGGCAAGATTCTTACTACTATTTTCCGCGGTCGGGTCGTTTAGACATAATTATCGCCTTCCACGATCAAGGCCATATATATATGAACATATCCCGCGGTCGTGAGGAGATTATCATCGTCTACCGCAAATGAGGCAAAATTCTAACCTTTTCCCGCGATTGTGTGGGTGTGGCCATTATGATCGTCTTGTACTATCGTGATAAAAATTCTGATCACCCCTCGCGGCCGTGAAGACATCATTATATTGTCCCCCGCTGTCGTTTGGGCACAGTAATTGCCTCCCGCGATAGCGGCAAAATTGTAATCATCTCCCGCGGACATATGGAGATAATTGTCTTCCGCGAATTTGGCAAAATTCTGATCTTTTCCCGGGGTCATGTGGGCATTAGGCTACCATCGTCCTGAGCGATCGCGGCATGATTGTGATCATCCCTTGCGGTCGTGTAGAAATCATTATTGTATCTCCCCGCGGGCTACATAGGGGATTATGGTCCTATGTAGACATCACAATCGTCTCCCGCGGTCATGAATACATGGTAATCGACTCTCGCGATTGCGGCAAAATGTTGATCATGTCCGGCAGTTGCGTAGAGATCGTCGTCGTCTTCCGCAATCGCGGCAAAATTCTTGCTGTTTCCCACGGTCGTGTGGACATTATCATCGTATCCCGTGATCGTGGAAAAATATGATCATCCCTCGCGGCCGTTTGTAGACATATCGTCTACCGCGGTCATGTAAACGTCACTGTTGTCATGCGCGATCGCGGTAAATTGAAAATTCTAGGTAGAAATACAAAATTCACATAATTCCCGGTTCGAAAAACTCCCGCATGATTCCCGTATTTCTCGGTCAATGGACACCGTTATATAAATTGCAAAGGGGCGCTACTATTAGTTGTGCCTAGGGCGCTGATAGGGTCAAAAACGGGCCTGATTGTGCTAAAGTAAATAACTGATTTCTGTTGAATATGCACACTTTTTGACTGACTAAAACTGATCTATAGTATCCTTTACGTCACGTCAACTTTTAGTAACAAAAAATAAGGTAGAATATAAAATTTTAGACACAAGTGCAATCTACGACGGGCACATTCAACTATGCTATTTTTGAAAGAACAAAAATTGGCAACAGCTCGTTCATATAGATTGGATGTCTACTTTAGTAACAGTCAATGATAATATGCAAATGATTTTTTACAGAAACTATAGGTAGTTAATGTGATTAACTGTGTGCTGCATTTGAACATATCTTTACCTGATTTTTGAGTGAAATCCTTCATTCTGTTTTCCACCACTTTGGTTCTCCATTGCTTTTTTTATAATACTGTCTAGACTTTGTTTCTTTAGATTTGTAGATTTTTTTGCAAACATGTTTCGAAGAATCCCCAAGGTTTTCTCAGCAAGCTTAAATTTCCTTCTTTGAATTTTGCGTAGCTTCCGTTTTGTTCTACAAGAATTAAAGTCAGTTTAGCTGTAAACAGCTAAAATAAAATAAAATTGCACAGTAACATAGTCAGTAAGCTGATTTTTTGAAAAAACAAACTTTTACAACTTGTTTTGAGGGTTGTGTAAACAAGTTTCTACTGTACAAATCTTAAACTCCAATAATCCTTTATTGATTTTAATTGAATTTAATTTGATTTTTTTAGGTACAGATGTAGTGAAAAATATAATTTGTTTTGATATCAAGTTTTGATTGTTTTAACTCTTTAAGACAATAACTTTTGATAGTTTTGAACTCTTTGAAGACAAAATTCACTCTCAAGGTGTCCCACCAGGGGCAGGTCGGTTGTACTTACATTTATTGTTTAAGGTACAAAGTCTTGAATTTGCAAATGGGTAGGTAATTTATAAAATCCATTGTTTCCATCATGTAAAGCTAAGTTGTTCACTTATTGCAATAGACAGTCTACATTAATGTCCTTAGGGAAGGCGGAAGGGTGGAAAATTATTCAATCAAAATTGTTTGTTTTTCTCGATAAAATATAAAACAAAAATGTTCACTAGGCTATACATACTGTTTTTACTACCGTATACTTAATTTTCTCTCAAAATTGTCTCAGTTGCTACAAAATAAGCTTAAAATGATCCAGTAAATCTAACCAAACCCCTATGACTGAGGTTACAAAGATGTAAACTCCTATCAATTAAATGGAGTAGGGATGCGTCAAATCCGAATCTATCGAATCTTAAGAAAAGATACGGATTCGACACTCAATTAACAAGTTTCAAGAATCAACAAAAAATATTTTTTGAATAGAATTATAAGGCATAGACTGTGACATTGCATAACCATAAAGATTATTGATGTCGTAATATACACTATACTGTGACATTGCCTAACCATAGAGGTTATTGACGTCGTAATATACAGTAGGCCTACTGTGACATTGACTAACTATAGAGGTTATTGACCTCCTTATGTAGTGTAGCACTGTGACATTGCCATTTTATGACAGATTTAGGTTAATAGGTTAAAAGATGTAACCGATTAGTCGTCTATTATTTTTTCCATGTGTCAAAAGTAATTACGTAACTTTTCATCGCAAAGAGTAGTCATTTATGGTTAGTGTAATATTTATTTTTAAATGGTTCCTATTCCGTTCTTGCTTTTTTAATCACCATAAGCCCATTTGTAATTATTTTTGGAACTCAAGATTCGAAGATTCGAGATTCAACCATCACTAAAATGGAGTGACTAAATAAACAAAGGCTTACCCCATACACTTCAAAATATAGTTTATACTTACAACATTCCAACAGGGCTATTCAAAGTTTTCTTAGATACATTCACCTCTTCTGAATTCATTTTCACTGATTCAGTAGATTCTTGGGTTGAATTGAAAACATTTTCTGTCGTACTTGTTGAGGGTAAATTTGTGTTGTAATTTTCTTCGATTTCAACAGAAGATTCTTTTTCTTCTGTGTCCATATTCTCTTGGTTATCTTTAATCTCTTCAATATTTTCTATAAGTTTAACGGATGCTTGATTTTGATCACATGACTTTTTTGCATCAATTCGATCTTCTAGTACATCATTATTCTTTTTATACTTATTGCACTTTTCTGCGACTGTATGCTCTGCACGATCATCCACCTTATACTTAACACTGGGTTCAACATTATCATCAGTTAAAGGTGTTTCGACATCAACTCTTTGTATTAAATCATTGTCAGTTTTACGCTTTTTCCGATTTTCTATGGCTACATCTTGGGCACTTTCTTTGGCCTTTTTTTCAGAACCTTCATCAATACCTATTTCCTCATCAACATTTTCTTCTACATCATCGCTCTTGCGCTTTTTGTGCTGTTCGTCTTCTTTCCCTTGTGCGCTTGTACCCTCCGCACTACCTTCCGTCTTCTTTCCAGATCTTTCTTCAAAATTACCCAAACTTTTACTCTCATCAACAAAAATCTCCTCATTGGCATTATCTTCTATCACATCATCAGTATTATGTTTTTTATCTTTTTCTTCCACTGTATCTTCCATGGAATTTTCCATCGAGTCAGAATCTTGAAGGTTATCTAAAGCTTCATTCCAAGTTCTAATCATTTCATCAGAATCACTTCCATCAGTGTCATCGTCTGTATTATGTTTCTTATCTTTTTCTTCCACTGTATCTTCCATGGAATTTTCCATCGAGTCAGAATGTTGAAGGTTATCTAAAGCTTCATTCCAAGTTCTAATCATTTCATCAGAATCACTTCCATCAGTGTCATCGTCTGTATTATGTTTCTTATCTTTTTCTTCCACTGTATCTTCCATGGAATTTTCCATCGAGTCAGGATGTTGAAGGTTATCTAAAGCTTCATTCCAAGTTCTAATCATTTCATCAGAATCACTTCCATCAGTGTCATCGTCTGGTTTTTGCTTTTTATGCTGTTCTACAATTACATTATCCGTTTTAACTTCAACTTCAATATTTTCAAGATTATCTGAAGCTAGATTGCCATTACTTGGTATCTCAACTGTATCTTTCTCTATAGCAAGCTCCTCAGCATTTTCTGTCTCTATGTCTTCAGGGATTTGCTTCGTCAGATTTTTAGAATGCTCAATACTACAAGGTGCTGATTTTTCACTGTTACATAGATTTTTATCACTGCTTTCCTCTCGCACATCTTTCTCAGGTACTTTTTGCATTCCTGCAATATTATGTGGTTTACTCTCCACCACCACTTCAGCACTCTCAATATCAGCTTCAGTTTCATCTCTAAGGGTAATTTCTTGAACTTTCACACCACTATAAGTCTTGCGCTCTGTAAGATGCTGGTCCAGTCTTATTGTCCTCTCGTAAGCAGTCACAGTGAGGTTTGGCATATGGCGTAGCACTCGGTAACCAGCCCGACACAAATGAGCGAACACTCTGTACTCATCCATAGTGCATCCGCTCTCAGGTTTCAGAAGCAATGAATACCCCTTCTGTATGGACAGAGGTACTTCGCCGTGGAAACATTGCAGACAGTTCTGAAAAATATGGGTGTATCAATAGTTTGTTATTAAGTTTTTGCAAATAAATCAACTTTTTGTGAAAGTTATTTAGGTATTTTATGTAAAATAAAAATTGTGTCATGGAAAAATATATGGTGAAACTGGAGGCCTTAAACTATTTTCTAGTATGATGGAGAAGTATATGTGGACTAATATACTAGTTCTAGTAAGGTTTGAGTATTTTTTACTGAAACTAAACCAATCGGTAAATAAAAATAGTAAAATTGATTAATTTATTTTAACAAAACAAACGTAAATATTTCCACAACATTTTACATATTTTTTTCAAAAAATGTATTTCCAAACAAAACACCACAGGATAAATAAATAAAATATGTATCTAGAGAACATTTTCACTTTTTAAAGGTGAAACTCAGTACTTGTATTTAATCTGGTCATCCATAAAAATATTTTTATTTGTGAAGCCAACTTTTAAACAATGTTAACTCAACCCCTTTTTTAACATCATTGATTATAAACTCACAAGTAGGTTTATCACAAGACACACATGGACATTGTGTCCATTTTATAAAAACAAAAATCTAAATGCCCAATCAGATTCAAAGATGAAATTTACAATGACTTCATCTGTCCCATCAATATCCGCTAGAGCCAATGTTTATTTTAGGTTGGCCTCTCCCATTAGCTCTGCCACAAAGGAGTGAGGTTGTGAGTTGAACACCACAACCAACAACCGAGACAGGATCTAAACCCTCCATTTGTACGGATGTTTTGAGGCAGGGAAGTGCCATGGAGTATTGATCAGACCCAATGGTAGACCACCCTTACATAGACTGTTAACTAAATGCTCCTACCCATTAGTTCTAGTTCTACCTTAACACGTTCGCTGCCGCCCTTCAATGGCAAGCGAAGCCCAGGTGCAGCGCTGCATCGAACGAACCAGATTGCCGGACGATTGGCTTTAAAATTTTGTTCTGAAGAATAGCAAATAACGTGCGGTGATGTACTGCGTTACGACGAGAGTCAACGTAGTTTGCTAAAATACCCACAGATAGCAGCACTGCTTGAATTGTAACCGGTCCCATTGTATTGCCAATTTGATGGAGAAAGACGGGACAATAAGTTGATTTCTAATCTTGCCAGACAGGGATTTTACGGGGAAATTTACTACCAACCTACACTACAACAAAAAGCAAGTCACATACAATGCAGTACTAAAATGTACAAGCAACGCTGACAGAGAAACAAAGATATACAAAAGGCATTTTCGAGCGTTCCCGATCGGGTATGGACGCACCCGACGGGCACCAAGCACCATACCCGATTGGGAATGGCTGCATACAACGTGTTAAAACAATCTTACAATCCCAGTTCACTTAAATAAAGATCTGGTACTTCGCAGCGACACTTCAACATAATTAGTAACAGATCTTTTTCTAAGTATACAGGGAAAGTTTCTTGAACGACAAAGTTAAAAAAAGTTTGTAGGCCTAATACGTTTTACAAACCATTTCCAACAGGAAAAGGACCTCTTCTGGAAATAACCAGTCTGCATCTTCCGCATGATGGCCAAATGTCTCCCAGTGTTTGCTTTTACGACTGACTGCGGCTTTGTGCTTATCAGGTCTCCAGTCAGCTGACATCAAATTACTCCTGGAACGAATGAATTATAACATTTATATCAATTAATCACTACAAGGGTTTGCCAAAATACAAGGCCAGTTACAGCCAAATGGCCCTGTACTAATGTCTTTAGAGTCAGCTAAAATCAAATTACTCCTGGAATGAATTAATCATAACTAGTGTACATGTTGCTCGAATTCGAGCAATTGGAAAGTATTACAGGAGTTATTTCAAAACGAATAACAGTCATATTTACAATGAGTTTAAAAGAGTCAACTCAAAGATTACCGGAGTGTAACTCAGACCATGTTTATCTTCGTTATTGATAAACCTAAAGCATTCCAGCCGGTTTTATCCTTCTCAAAATGCCTCGCTGTACAGGCAACACAGGTCATTGAGGGCCAATTGAGAACGAAAAGTCGTTTTGGGGTAGTGTTAGGGCGCATTTGTAACTTAATAGTTGAGATTGTCCAGGGTCAGGTGCTGACTCCCACTGTTCTGTAGCTGCGGTCGTTATCACGGTTACGCCTCCTGTCTATGTTTCGTTGTCGTCGCGTCGGGGGCATTTAAAAGAAAAACAACAAATAAACAAATTATAGCTACACAAAACAACAATAAACGCACAAATTTAAGTTACAATCATGCTAACACGATCCGTCATAGCGACACAAAACAACGATAAATACATAGATTTAAGATACAACCATACTAACACGATCCGTCTTGGGGGTTATGTTTACACAAACTCAAATAGTAAATAAATGTACTCAATGCGTTTCATTGAATTGAAAAATAAATAACAGCAATTAAATTATACAGCTGATCAAAATGTAAACAATTATGTTCTCCATAAGGATAACACGGGAACTTTCAAAGCCACTGGGGCAGAGCCCAAGGGGCGTTTTCAAAAATGTAATGCCAGTTTGCAAATCTACGCCACACGCTCTTTCCAATGAGACGTCAATGGATAAAATCGGTTAAGAAATGGCGGAGGAGTTCAACCGACAAAGTTTCATGTAGCGTATTAATTATATAGATATTTGATTTGTTCAAAATAGTAGTAACAAGGGTTAAAAAATACTAAACCAGTAACAAACAAGAGCTAAGTAATTATTTCTTTTTCAATCATGCCAACATTTAAATCATGCCAAAGTAGGGACAACTTATAATGAAATATTTTATTTTTATGTGTCTACAAACTGTCTAAGAAACACCAAAATAAAATTATTAAGTTACCGGTACTTTAAAAGCCCATTCTAGACTTACAAGAAGCTTATCTCTGTGTTGAAACGTTGCCACAGCTGGTGCATAAAGATGGGTATTTCCTTTACATATTTTTAGTGTAAACTATGTTGTCATGTGAAAAAGACGAGCTTTCTCTTCTACTGAAATGACTTATTACCAACAACTATACATGAATAAATAGGTATTTGAACATAGCAGCAGCTAGGTTTCTATAAGAGTTTAGGTCTACACATGCCTTGTTAGTAAAATAAACTAAATCTCACACATACTTTCTCCCATAAGCTTGTCAACAACCTTTTCGTGTGTAAGCAATGGGAGTAACTATGATATTTTAGAGGCAAAAAAAATCACAAAAGTTGCCATAACCTTTGAACCGTAATTGTTACAGCAATGGGGGGTTGCACTATTTTGTTTGGAATTATAAGGACTATAACACATTAATTTTAATCAAAACCGGCTTTTTTTATCAGATTTTTTATTTAAGGGGTTTTTATGGGAAAATAACATTTAAGTTACAATAACTTAGGAACCATAATTTTTACGGAAATGGGATTTGTACCACTTTGTTCAGAATTTAAAGGACTATGACATACTAAATTTTCATCAAAATCATTTTCGATAAAATCCAATTTTTCCATTATTAAACTTTTTGGTTTTTATGAGAAAATCATAATTAAAATCAAAATTTCCAAAAAATTAAAAAAATAAACTACTGGAGATACCATGTATTAGTACCTAGGCCTACATGCCAAATTTCTTCAAAATTAGACTATAGGTGTGGTCTGTAGCTGTACCTACACATTCACACACACAGACATCAGTTCGAAAAACCAATTTTTTTTGGTTCAGGGGGGCCTAAACAGATATATATTCACTAAAAACTTAAACTCGGTAATTTTGATGAAAACAATACTTTTTCCATATACTATACATATAGGAGGATAAAGTAAAAGGTTTAGTGCTTTTTATCACTGAGAGCAAACTCATATTCGGGAATACTGTGCCTGTCAGAGACTTATTGGTAAATCCAGCCCTGATTTTGGTAGATTCTCAATATTTATTCATAGTTTCTCTGGCAAATTGAGGTTTTCTCAGTTGTACAAATTGGGTTTGATTTACAACAGTTTTGCACAAAAATTAGAAAAAATCTTTATTTAACATAATGATATAACTAAACTGCTACTCACTCTTTTTCAATTCTCTCTGCCTCCAAGAGAGTTTTACGACTGTCGAGAGCACTTTGAATCTGCTTCTGTTCGAGCCATGAGTGATTTGGCTCAAACTCTTTTACTCCGACAGGTGGTAGCTCAAAGTTAGTCTTGGAGTTGGTCAGAACCATTTTCTCACCACTAGACAAATTATGAGCAAGTTAAAATTTTTATTTGAAAATAGGCCTACTAGTAATCAATAAACCATCTTACATGAAAACCCATGGATTAAATAAAGAAAAACCCTGGGAGAATAAAAGGGAACAGGATCTGTATTATTGTGTTCACCAATGTGTTTGAAGTGTTGAAACTAAGTTAAGTCACTCATATAAGCTTGCCTTTTTCGAGAATTTTAAGGCAGAAGAGCTTCTCTCTACATTCCATTATCTAAGACCTATTGACTTTGGGCATTATCAATAGTAAGATGTATATTTACCGGTACCTATAGGCCTAGTAAAATGTGTATCCAGCATACTTGAGGTAGTACTGGTTGGTAAAATGAAACTAAGGACTCAGTTTTTCACCAAAACGTCAAGCATAATGGTTTGTAACCAACACACTAATCAGATATGTTCAACAATCGCTTGCATCTCAATGTAGGCCTATTTAATTTAAATTTTGTAATGTGTGGACAATTAAAAAATATAAAAACTCAATGCAATTCCACATTTAGCAACTTAACATATGCAACTTTTTAATAAGTAGACTTAGTCCTATTTAAATATCAGATGTAAACTCTGTCAGCCATCATCATTGAGCCCATTTTATCTAAGGTGTCTTTCGGAAACACAGACCTATTAACTTAAAGTTCTTTAAGCCTCCCCCAGTTTACTATCCCAGTTGTGACAGTTAACAATCATTTTTTAACACGCTCTAGGGCCCCTCAATATGATACAAACTGCATTGTAACAATTATCGTTGTAATCGGCAGATTAAAAGCTTTCCTCCAATACCTGCCTGCAGACGCTTACTCTATGCACGCTGTTGTACTGCAATCAACGAAAGTTGCCAAAGTTTTCTACCAATGAGCTGTGTTTACTACTGTTTGAAATATCTCCCATCAAAAGGGGGGGGTCTGTGCCCCCCCCCCCCCCCCCGGAAATTGTTGCTTTTCAAGTGAAAATCACACATTTCTACATAGCTTTTAATGATTTTTCGATTATATTTGCTTGTAAATAGTCTATATAATCTCACTTAATTACGTATATTCTAGAATGATGTAACAGGCCAAGGCTCCCTTTGTAACCTCTTGGGCCAAAATCATAGCTCAATCCTAGCCTTCCCTAAAATATTTACATAGGGGTCTATCCATATCAAGTGATCCAGAAATAAAATAATTGGTTGCTTGACCATTTTTTAAATAAATAATATTTTTATCCTAGATACCTATATCAATTCTGGGTTCAAAAGTGATTTAAATTTTTTTTATCTCTTTTGTTACTTCTACGGCGGCCATTTTTGTTTTGCGGAACACGCAAATTTTTGCTCATGTAAGGGTTTGCGTTAACTTGCATAACTCAGTAACCATGAACACTAGAGTGATGAAACAAAATGTATTTTAATCTGAAAGAAACAGTCTAAATATTGTGTTGAGTACATATTTATTGAAATGTGTACCTATCAAAAACAGTTTTCAACCCATCTCAACATTTCATAAGAAAACAGAAAAATTTCAACTTTTGAAGGCGTATTACCGTTGGAACAAATAAAATCTCAGACTTGATTTTTTTTTTGTGTGTAGCAACTCAGTAGAACTGTTTATATTTCAAATATCAACCCTAAGACTTAATTCCTTTAAAAGTTATCATTTTTCAAAAATTGAAATGTTTCGAAAAATTGAAATTTTGAGTCTTGATATCTTTGTTGGGACAAAGTTTAAAAATCTGAAATTTTTACCAAAAACCCCTCTTATGGTTGTTATACTGATGTATAAATTTCATCTTTGAGATTTACTTATAAGCTAAGTTACAGTAGGCCTATCATGAAAATCGCAAAAAAAAAACATAAGCTCGGCCAACGTCGCTAGTACTGTGGGTAGCTTAAAGATTAATTTCCTATAGGTGTAGGTAGTTATTTTATTTATAATGTAAACTTATCTTAATGTACTTACTTTCAAAAGCCCAAAACAGATTTTTAACTTAAACTTTGTACCCAAAGTACAAATTATATGTAGGCCTAGGCCCCTACTTAATAAATAAAATCCTGCCGATCTTTTAAGTTCTATTCATCATTCAATTTAAATAAAGCTTAGTCAATTCTATTTATTTTGAGGTCTTAAAATAGATATTCCATTCAGATAAAATTTACCGTAACCCGTAACATAAATAAATAAATACCCCCGCCGCAGCAAACCTGCCGACTAAGCGAATTTCCATTTGTCTTAAATTGATTTTCAAATAGGTAAATATATTTTAATAACATTAGGTTTAACGAGTACCTAGGTTTGCTGCTACAAGGAAACTAATAAAGTGTGTTTTTTTGTAAAATATTGATAGCTTAGTACAAAATAAATAAATTTGATCAAAATACAAAATATATCCATTAGCAAGCAAACTACAACATTTGACAATATTCTCCATTAGAATAACATGGGAATTTTAAATTTACAATTTTTTTAATTTTCTCCGTTACTATTAACCGAACAAAAATACTTTTATATACTAAATTAATTGTTTTTTTAAGCTCTTTAAAAATGTCTAAAGAGAAATTGGGAAATTTTGTGTTTTGATGGTCAAAAGTGAGAAAAACCAATTTTTACCCCATAAAACCCCCCGTAAAGCTCGTTCCCATGGTCCGATCATGCTGGTTCGCGAACTCATTCAAGTTTATCCCGCTTTACACCTTTAAACCAAATTTCATCAAAATCGGACAAAAATTACTCAAGTTATCGCGTTCACGGACGTATATATGTATGTCTATATATATATACTAGGAGTACGCTCCGAAGTCACGTATGAGAATGAACGAAGACCATTTCATACATAAAAAAATGTTATTTAACAGTAGGCCTATCCACATTCATATCAGTTGATCAGCTGCTCAAGCAGTTTGAACTTCATTAAGGCACTAACACCAAATCCATAATACCTTTTCACCAAAACATTTTCTTTACTGTACTTTGGACTTGCGTCATTAAAGCAGGACCAGGAATCAGGGAGTTGGTATATGAAAGGGACCTTGGTCCAAGGTCATTAGGCAGGTTTGAGAAAATTCACACTAAGGAACTATGTATAATCACTGAATGTATTCCGATGTATTTAAAAGCAGCAATATTGCTCGAAAATGCTAAATAATATTAGGTTTGTCAATCTATAGAGACTCCAACAATTACTTTGTGATGTTTCATTGCTCTACAACATTCAGAAATAAATTATAACAGTGAGAACCATTATACATTGAGGGTAAGGACATCCCTTACATGACCCATAAGAATTATAAACATTTCAAAATACAAGAATTTAAACCTTTTAGGTGTTGCATGGGAGGAAACACTATTTTTGAACCATCAGATACTGCTGAATTTGTTGTGTGAATGATCAAACAAATGTTTACTCGAAACAGTTTTAAAACTTTATATATTTGGATTCACATTTTAATACATTTACCTACGACCGTTTATTAAAATAGCCGTTTCAGTTCAGTTGTTAGAATTTAAAAGTTTCTCATAACATCATAGTTTTATCATAACACAGGTAACGGACCAATGAGGTTCAAGTCATGGTGGAAGGAAAATACATAGGTGTGCTATTCCCGTCATATTCTGACGTCACCCAGATTGCAAACGAAAAATCACCTGATTGTACAGTATTGCCATATTTAAATATATATATATTTGTTTTTGATTTGATTGTTATTGTTTATATATTTTTGTTCTAAATGGTGAAATGGTGTTTGCAATCTTGGTGACTGTGACTTCAACAGCAAATTACGGGAATAGCACACCTTTGTATTTTCCTTCCACCATGGGTTCAACTATTGAGATAGAGGAATTAAAATTGTAATGATTCGAACTAATCGGCTAATTTAATTGTCGAGTGGTGCTTAACAATCAGTGTTTGGTACAATGTTTCGTTCCATAATTTTCAGTGGCAATGATACTATAAACGAAAACATAACCTCTCTTCTTAGAAGTTATGAGTAGTGATTTTAAGTAATTATAACACTGTCGTAGGTAAAGTGGTGTACGCAACTCGCGTAAATAGTGTTAACGACACTCGTAGAAGTTTTTAAAGCCCTCGCCAAGGGTCGTACCTTAAATTTTCTACTTGTGACGTTAACACTGTATTTACGCATTCGTTACTACTGTAGCCCTACTACTTTACTTTACCATATCGTAAGATAGTTTTAAATTCAAAATTATTATGCAGGAGTAAATATTTAGTATCAAGTATTTTTTTCTCCTGCTACTTCACACCCAACCAGCACATTGCAGAGTACTGTCAGATGGTCATCTCTCTGGAGGACGAGATCTTAAAAATCGATGGTGTTGGTGAGGTGACTGTTTGAAGGGATTTCAATGCTAGGGCGGTGGAATGGGGTTTACCCCAAACAAACACAGAGGGTCAGTATGTTGTAGAGATGGCAGCCAGGCTACCTTCATATATCCTTAATACAGGTGACATTTTCATCATCTGTCACCCCTGGCAAGGAAAGATGATCCCTAACATCTCTCTGGCATCTGAAGCCCTAGCCCAACAGTCACGGACTGGTGAGTCTCCAAGGACTACTCTGCAAGGGACTTATCAGGCAATCGTCTTCAGGGAACTTCTCGAGCTTTCCTGAGTTGGGTATCCATATGCCAATTCAGCTCATCCGTCTCAATGTTGGGACCTCGTCTTTGCCAGGCCACTTTTCAGGGTTACATCAAAAATCAAACTTTTGGGGACATTAGAAGTGCCGAATTTCAAGCCACATTGAAGATGCGTCCCACCATCTTCGGCATTTGACTGTTCCATGCTTAGGACTTTCGCCCACCGCAGAAAGAAGCCAGTTTACTGGTGGAAACCCAAGATTGCAGGACCCCAGAGAATGTGCCTAGGGCTCTGACGAGCAGCGCAGCATGCCAGAAACCGGCCTGAAGGTAATGCTAGATCGGCAGAGCACAAGGCCCCCATGCGAGATGACCATGGTGATATCAACTG